CACCATTGAAGTACACATTGTTCAATAATTTTCTCTACATCTATTACATTAAATACCAAACTGATTGATTTTCTTTTGTATTTGTTTTATTTCGGTAGTAAAATCGTTAATTCAATGAAGCTAAAAATTTGAAGATAATTTTATATATTCATGGACTGTTAGCGGTACGAATTTCGTCGGTTCAGCAGCATATTTACAAAAATATATGCATTACAAATATACTTATAAAAAAGATTATGCTAATTAGTTATGCCAATGCTCATGGTACAATAGTATTTACACACCAAAAAAGGAACAAATTATTTAATTTAAAGCACTTATACATAAAATTTGAAATCATTTTCCTTCAAATAAAGACAATTTGTTTCTCTTTTAAAATCAATCTAATTAAATTCATCTATCAAAAAGCGCAAGATAGAATATCTTGGCCACGTGCTCAGGAACGATAGATACATGCTGCTGCAGGTGATAATGATAGGCTAAGTGGACGGAAAGAGACGTGCTGGGCGAAGAAAAAAGTCGTGGCTCCCTAATATCCGGGAGTGGACCGGTATTGCCTCCGTCGAACAGTTGTTCCGGCTGGCTGCTGATAGAACTACATACAGGAAGCTAACGGCCAACCTTCAGGATTGAAGAGGCACTGGAAGAAGAAGAAGATTACAAAAACAATTTTAAACCCTACAAAGAATGAAAACGCCATTTCTGTAAGTACAGAGTATATTAAAGCTAAAATGTCTAAAAAAATAAATAAATAAACCTCTTCGAAGAAACCAAAATGTAATGAGTTTAATAAATGCAGCATATTTTTTACCTACATAAATTAATATTCCAAATTTCAAAAAAAATATTTCGTAATTTTTATATTATATATAAAAATTACGAAATATTTTTTTTGTTGACTCTACCCAATTTTTACTCTCGACTGACATTACAATGGCAAATATTCGCGCTTATGCTTTTTCTCCCTCATACAAACGTTTACAAGTGTTGTTGTCTTTTTCTTAATAACAAATACCGAATAAGATTCAAAACAAACAGCATTTTTATGAAAAAATATATTTTATAGTACTTACGAATGAAAAATGATGCCGTCGGTTTTATTTTTAGTACTTGAGCAATTTGAGCACTTTTTAAAACAACACTTAGGCATTGTTTTATCTTATAATCACAAAATTTTAGCAATATTTCTTTTTGACGTTCACATGTACGTCATTTGCATGTCAAGTTGTGACTAAAGCGATTGTGGCCTTGGGCCACAATTGATGCGGATCACTTTTGTGAGGCTAGTGCCGTATCTACCCTTTTTGTTTTAATCTAAGCATATACATAAACAACAAAGAATTCACAGCGAGAACATACCATTTTATAAAACATATAAAATATTCTATAAATAATATGGCTTCTATTCTTTTCCTTTTAGGATAAGGAACCCTAAAAAGTTACGAAATCTGACCTTACCAAGTCACAAATGCAAGAAATACAAAATTCCCTACTTTTAGGGAAAATTTCCCGTAAATAAAGTAGCCATACAGTTGCATTTTTGTTTACAATTTTCATCCCAGTAAATAAAATATAATATGGAATAAATATCAAGAATTGTCAATACTTACGCATGGTAGGTAATTCCTTGTGACTTTTTAAATTTATTCGTGTAGTTTTTACAGGATTTCACCACACAAGACGGCATTTTTAATTATTTTTATCAGAGCAATTGAATGTGTGACTGCCGCTGTCACGCGGGGTCAAATGGCAGCGTTTTGTCCGACCTGGTGCATTAAGCCCACCATTCACTACACGCACCGCGAGCCGAACCCCGAGCCGTACCCATCCGTGGACAAATCCGTCATTGCCCACACACTACACGAGCGTCGAGTTGCAGTCCAGTCGCTTGTGTACTTTGGTGAGCCTCGCGCGTATCGTTCTTCCCTGTATGGGTAAATTCTTGCCAAAACTCTTTATGATCGCCGAACGACATGTTATTATACTCGTTCATGATACAAACAACACAACTGCAGGCCAATTATGCTCGCTAATTGTGATATTGTTTTGATGTCAATTTCACATTACTCATTACGCTCTCCGAAAAATGCGATATCAAAATGACATCAACTTTAAAATGATATCAACTTATATGCGTATTACGTTCAACTTTTTGACATAAAACAGTATCGCATAAACGTCAAAAATGTGATACAGACTTAACAAGTTAGGAGGTGGTTTTTCTGTATCAAATTCCTTTTTTTTTAATAAAAAAGAGTAAAATGGCTCGTTTCGGGTTAGTAATGGACTATTTAGAACGAGCTCATGCCGAGGACATGCGTAGAAGAGATAAACCCCTTGTAGAAGAGATACAATTAGCTCTTTATGTTCGCTAATTGTGATATTGTTTTGATGTCAATTTCACATTACGTATTATGCTCTCCGAAAAATGCGATATCAAAATGACATCAAATTAAGCGTATTATGATCTACTCTTTAAAATGACATTAACTTGATATCAACTTAAATGAGTATTATGTTCAACTTTTTGACTTAAAACATTATCGCATAAACGTCAAAAAAGTGATAGAGACGTGATACAGAATTAACAATTTAAGAGGTCGTTCTGGGTGCACGCACTACAAATGACTGACAAGTTCGCCGACAAATCTGTACAAGCACACACACGTACGGATTTACACCAATACATTCACACGCGGATTTGTCCGCGGACTTGTCGCCAGCGACAAATCCGGCGGATTGGCGCGCCCGTGAATGGTAGGCTTTAGTGTGAGTGTAGGTAGTGTACAACAAACGATTTTGTCTGACCTTGCATGCTTCACATGATTTGCCTTTGATGTTACGCCCGTCTTTTTTTTAGGTCCGTGCTTGTAAGAAAAAATATTAATTTGTTTCTTAAAAACACTGATGTTCACACACTTAATACAAGAAACAAAAATAAACTAACTTTACCTGCTACTAGGCTTCACAAAATCAATAATTCATTTAAAGGTCTTTGTGTTCGCTTATACAATAAAGTCCCAAGCAATATCCAAGAGTTAAGCATAAATAAATTCAAAGATAGTATAAAAAAAGCACTTATTAAAAAAGCTTATTACAAAGTGTCTGATTATATTACAGACAAAAATGCTTGGGTTTGAACTGTTCCAATCATTCCAACAGGTGTTCTATATTAAATAAATCATGATTGTATTGACGTTCTAACAACATAATGATTTGTAAATGTTGTTACATTATGCTTTTAATGTTGTGGAGTTTTTTTCGCTCGTTTTTCTCCGCAGTAGGGAAAAAAATGTTTGGACGATTCAAAGTGTTGTACATCCAATTTGAATAAAGATATATTGATTTCTGATTTCTGATGTGTCGTTTGCCTATCGTGAAATAGTACGTGCTTACGTTTCCAAGGCGGGTGAGTCCTTTATATGAATACACAGTGTAAAATTTCTTACCTATTAAATTCAATATAAATGCAGCGGTCTTATACTACATTACTTGTAAGCTCGACATAATCGAAATGTTTTAAAGGAGTAAATTTATATATTTTGTAGAAAATTACTTACACTCTTAAAATATATGGTATAAATGTTCAGTACCTACTTCATGCAAATGTGATTGAGTTGTGTTCTTCGCAATATCCAAGATACATTTCAGATCTAGGCTGTTTTGAAGAGATCTCCGCAATGCTCGAGATATACATTTCAGCTTAGTTTGTATTGTAAAGCTCCATCGCGCTTTGTAGATTGGGGGAAAGACACTTATTACCATTTAATCAAGTTTGTGAGTATACTGAGTTCTATATAATTGAAATATTGTAATGGAGTCAGGTTCTCAGCAATGTCCGAGATACATTTCAGCTTTATCTACTTACTTGAAGTCTTAAAATATGTTTGAAAGGCACCTCTCTTTTCCCCGGCGATGGGAAGCATTTTCATTTTGTAGGCCTGACTACCATCAACAAATCGAAAATGAAATGGGTATGCTAGCTCACAAATTGCGTCCAACGTCGGGCGGAGTGCAATGAAGCACGACGTTGCGAGCTGTGCGAGCGTTAAGGATGCAATTTTGTTAGCTAGAATGCCCAATTCATTTACTACTCATCACAAAGTGTACGGGCTTTCTATTTACCTCGTATCATGTATAGAGACTGCTAAATTTAGTTAAGAGTAATACGTTTGGCAACCTTGCGCGGCGCAACACAGGTCGTGGGACAGCGAATTAACAGATATTAATATTGAACAATATGCCATTCAAGAATACGTGTAACCCGCATTGCTTTGATTTAAAGTATAAGCACCTATTGTAAAGTGCAAGTATTGTGGAAACCAGAAACGCCATTACGCCAAAACATTGATCAGAAATACTAGGAGGACACCAAGATTGTTGATTACTATATGCTTGTTACAAATAGATGTTTAAATCAAGTTTGTTTTCTAAATTTGTTCCGCTGATAACCATAACTAGAACCTCAGAGACACAAAGTAGGTACGCAAAGGGTAGCGGGCCCCTATATGACGAAGAAAAAGCTAAGGAAAAAGCAGATGTGTCAGGCTTAATTCATAGATAAACTAAGCTTTTGTAATATAGGAGATGGCAATCCTTGCAGAGGGCACAGATTATACAATACTACTAGAAGGTAATTCCAGCGTTCACCTTTGGTTTTTAAAATTACCAGAAGTTATCATTGCAAGGTTTCAATATTTTAATAGCTAATGAATATAAATTTTGATTTAGGTGTTGATATTTTTATTAATGTTTCGAAGCAATTCCACGTCTCTTGAGATTAAGATGATAATTTAGGTACGCAAAAACTACAGCATTCGTAAGGAAGCTATCTGCAGTTATTCTGTTACTGTAATTGAGTGTGAAAAGGATAGCGAAACTTTTAAAATAGACAAGTTTTAATGCATCACAAAGGTTTAATAAATTAATAGTTTTCAATTATTGATATAAATAATAAATAACACTTGCAATCCAAATGTGTGTAAAACTAATACCATAGTAAGTGGGCACAATCAAAATGTTTATAAACTTAAGATGGGCATTGTCTTAAGAATTCCGAATCAAAATAAACTACTGTTACTGTCATATCGTCTCTAAACATACGGCAAACATCCTGTGGTAAGCTCAGTAGATGAGCCAGTCTAGAATGATCCACTCCATACTCTGTGCCTCCAACTGCATGACGAATCAAATGTGTAGCAGCGTTCCTATCTTTCGGTTTACTCTTTAAGCTTTCCTTTCTATGCAATAATAAATCATTTATATCTCCTAATTGAATGTTCTTTCGCGGTAACTTTAGAGGATTAAAGAACACCTTTCCTTTCATGTGTTCCCCGACTAACTTTACTGATTGCACTGTGGTCATCATATCCCATATACCATCTGATGCAATTATTAAGAATTTATCTTTAGATGTAAGTCTGTGGTAAAAGACATCAGGCTTGGCAGTCAAATATGGCGGAGTATGATAGTACTGAGGAATGACTGTTGGACCAAATAGTGGTACTAATAGATTACTAATAGTCTCCACAGACCACTTAAATTTGTAATCTCCCATGCTTCTTAAAGGAGCTAAGTCTCCTAGTAGGCGGTTTCGTCTTATTATTGTTTTTGTCTCTTCTTTGGGATGTTCACTATATAATCTTTCTAGTTCACTAGCATTTTCGAAATTATGTTCCTTGGTGATCTTTTTCGCTATCCACTCATTGTCTTCTGTAAGTGTACCAAGGACAGCATTACAATCGCCGACATTGGCAATATACAAATGAGGTCCATCGATATGTGCCACACAAGCCACTGCACCAGACATAGCCACTGATAAAGTCTTTGTATTTACAACACCATTCTTCTTAAAAGGTTCTATCACTTCGTTAGACATATCACTATCTAATTTTAAGATTGCCTTCTCCAGTGAAACACCTACATCATTACCAGCATTATGTTCTTCTAGAAGATCTAATAAATATTGTTTAAAACTATTTGTATGTATAACTTTTAGTTCTTCTGCAAGCTCTACCTGAAATACATGTAAATAGAGATGTATTAATCAAACCATATATAGTAAGCAAGTAAATTATAAAAAAAATCTACAAGCAGAAAAATTTTAACCTTTACAAACAGCAACACAAAATCAAAGTTTAGTAATAGGTCTTAACCTATGAAATTATCGTTGGTTTAATTATTCAAGTCCATTTTTTTCTTATTTCGCTAAGAGATCTAAGTTTAAATTATTTTTAAAATATGGAATTCTTTTTTGAAATTTAAGTCATTTGTTTAATGGTTAGCGTTCTGTTTTCAGCGCATTTGTACGTTTTTCTTCATCATGGACACGTTACAAATTCAAGTAATTAAGGAGTACGAGTACCGACGTGGCAGCAAAGAGGCACGCAATATCAACGACGTATACGGAGCGAACACTACTAACGATCGCACCACCCGTTATTGGTTTGCCTGCTTCCGTTCTGGAAATTTCGATCCATAAATGAACCCCGTGATCGACTGAAAACTTTAGTCGACAATGACGAATTAAAGGCAATTGTGGAAGCTGATGATTCTCAATCTACAGCCGAATTAGCAGAAGCTTTTCATGTTAGCATCAAAACAATATTGGTCCATTTGCGTCAAATTGGCAAGGTAAAAAAGCTTGACAAATGATCGTTCCCACGAATTGAACACCAGCGCGAAGTACGCGTCGAGTCGAGCCTTGCATGCTCAACAGACACACAAACGAAGGCATATTGAATCGCATTGTTACCTGCGACGGAAAATGGATTCTGTTCGACAATCGCAAGCGCTCTGCAGGTTGCTTAGATCCTGGATCAGTACCTAAACAATGCCCAAAACAAAAACTAACCCCTAAAATAGTGATGGTCATAGTCTTATTCCAGAATTTGGATAACAGGAAAATAATTCAATTACCAAGAGGTAGTTCAAAGTACCTTTTAAGCAGACTTTAAAAAAAAACATCAATAAGGTAGCACTACGTTGGCAAAAAAGCATTGAGAGCATGGGTATTAGATTAAATCAAAAAGGCATGATACGGCACTCGCGGCTCAAAAGTAATCCGCTTAAATTGTGGTGCATGACCATAATTTGCTTTAGTCACAATTGGACATTCAAACACGCTGCATGTGCACTCAATATAACAATATTGCGTATATTCTGTGTTATAAAATGAAAACAATGCATTCTATACTTTTATAAAGAACACAAATAGTTCAAAATCAAATAACAAATGCCTCGGCAACACTTTTCATTCGTAAAACGGTAAAAACAATTTTCTTTCTCAAAAATCATGGTTTGTCGTGGATGTTATTTACGTAATCGAAATTTTGTTATCAAGAAAAGGACAACAATACAGCTCATCCTTAAGGACTCTGAAGCGGACTCGCCGTTTCTCGCTCGTAGTTCTGTCTCGCTCACTCGATTGAATGTTTATATACAGACGTGTGCGTGCGTGAGAGTTGCTTATGTAGTTGAGTCGGATTATATTTTATTTGATGCTAGTATGAGCGTACCGTAGCTTCCCTTTTTATTTGAATCTAAGGAAATTACTCCAAAGGCTCCTAATATTTCTCCAAAGATTTGAGCATCGGCTGGACATCCTGTATAGGCTGGGGGAGGCCTTGTGTCACTGACACGCTACATTATCAATAAAGAAAAAAAAATCAATTTTTCAACCATATTTTATAAACTGGTAGCTTTTTTATTTTATTTATTTATTTATGGAAATTACTTTGATTAATAAAAATGAAAAATATATAAAAAAAACGGCCAAGTGCGAGTCGGACTCCCGCACCGAGGGTTCCGTACAAACCTGTAGGTATATTTGAATAATTATTAAAAAATATTTTTTATTATAACTAAAAATTTACGGCTTTCGCAATTTTTCATATATCTGTGTACTATAAGACGTTACTTCGTACCATATTTCAAAATACGGGAAGTGCCCGTGAATCGTAGGTTTTGATTCCCGTGCGAGTTTCGAAAATTTGCGGCATAAACGGCTAGTATCTTTTGATTGCTTTGGCTTAGAAGTTTGATTTCTCACAGCTCCAAGAGACAGTAGGCCTGAGTATTAGATATGAATTTCAGTTTGATACCTCCACACGTTCCTGAGAAAAACGGTATTGACAGACGGACGGACGAACAAGAAAGTGATCCTATAAGGGTTCCGATTTTTCCTTTTGAGGTACGGAACCCTAAAAAAGGGTGTGTAACTTATTTCATGAAAAACGGAAATTTCATAGGTAGAGACCCAATATATTTTTATTTTTTAGCATTTAAATGCTAGAAATAAATTCCACGCAATCCTGATAGCAGACGGCACTCAAACACGCACCCTCTGCTATCTGGGCGGATGCACTGACCAATTATGCTACTGCGACCTGAATGGCCGTGTCGATTTTTTTTTCTAGTATTTTTTAGAGTAACCCACAGTTTTCCTTAGATATAAAATCAAAGTTTGTTAAATTTAAACAGCAATATACAATTGGTAACTTACTTTATCGTTAAATGTTTCTACAAGGCCTTGATGCAAATCCTCATTTAGATATTTTCTTAAGTCATCTGGTGGTAAAAGGGCAGCGGCTATGTAATTCAACAGCCGCTTAGATATCACTTTTGAGCAAGATGGTCCCCCATGACCATCAAAAACTCCCATTAGCATACCTACAACAGATAATGATATAGATACAAATATTGACAATATAACCACATATTATAAGGGGATGGGATGGGATGTCAATGAGATTATAGTGTGAATGCATAGATGTCAAAGCTGCATTCCACCAAGACAAGGAATACAACTTTTCACTCTGACATATGCCGCAGTGAAAATATGGAATGCAAAATGTCAGTATTTTGTAATGTCATTGATCTTGTTTGTAGGTTTAGATGTATTGTGACATGCCATCCAAGCGTTTAAAAATACTGAATGTTTAAACTGCCCTTGCAAAGTGGCTATTTTCAACATTTATTTTAGATACTATACGATTTTTACAACTTTTTTCTTTACACTATATAAATGAGATGGAAACTACCAAATAAAAATATAAAAAAAAACATGCATCCCTTACATATACATTCCCTAATGAATTAAAAGTATTATTTTTCGAGTGGCTTTGTGGACCACTTTGTGTGCTTTCAAGGAGCACCAGTGAAGAACCACTGATCAAGAGAAGTTAATAGCAGTTATAACAGCAACATAATATTTTTTGTGGGGTAAAAATGTACCTATACTGTATATGGCATTTTTTTTTAGTAAAACACTATCACACAATCGCTTACCAAAGACAAGGATGTTAATAAAATGTCAATAAGGAAGGGAGCTTTCATTGGTCAAAGTAATACATTGACCAATGAAAGCACAAAGTAGTCATTACTCCAACTGATGACAGAAAAGCTTAAGTTAGCTGGTTCTCATGAATAAAGTTAATTCAAATTATGATTGTGCAATAATTGATTTTATTAACTAGTACCGTTTGGTACCTCTTAAAAACGCATATTTATTAAGGGAATTTAACATTAATTATGTTTTGTCATGATGGCAGAAATTAAGTTCAAATTGTTTACATATAAATTTCTTTTTAGTTGATTATGTTTTAAGTAGGCTACTATTTTAACCATAATAAATTCAAAAAATAATTTGATTGCAGTGATCTCTCTTTTCATCGAACCTGTGACTGAGACCGAATCTATCCCTTTCCTTTGATGAAAAAAAATCTGAAGATAATCCTAAAAACCAGGGATCAGGAAAGAGAATTGAGCCTTTATATTAAAATGCTTGTCTTTTCTTTCTTATGTCACAATCCTTTGTTACCTGATGTCATCTTGCATACACCTTCAATTCTGGTATCTTCAATAGGAATATTTGATGCGAGCTGATTAGAGTCATAGGATTTGACTGAACCTGATGTAAATTCTTTACTAAACTCATTTTTTCTGAGGATTACAGTTACCTGGAACAAAATTTGTGCCGCTGCAGTAATGTATTTCTACTTTTAAAACTGAAGTTTACCTTAAAATACAATTATAATTGTTGTGTTAACATTCTTAATTATTATAATTATGTAAGTTGTTAATTTAATTTTTACAGTAGATAGAACAACGTAAAAGCCTCATAAATTCATAAAAAATTATGTTCCCTTCCCCACAGAGTCCAAAACCTCTTTTACTTAAAATACGAAGCCTCAATAACTTAAACAAATCATTTTGGCATTGAACCTCAGCAACTCAAAATTTTAAGGACAACAACCTTTGTAACTTCAATCATCTATCAAAGAATCATTTTAAATGAATGTGCAAAGATAAAAGGTTCCCTGTAGATCATTGTTATTGCTTACATGTGTTTACCAAATAGCTTCAAATGTAAACAATACACCAAAATCTCCAAAATGAGGAGCTCGATGGCGCAAATAGTTAGCGCGTTCGGCTGCGACCGTTGAAGTTAAGCAAATTTCGCAGTGGTCGGTCATTGGATGGGTGACCAAAAAATTTACTATATCGAGCTCCTCCGTGCTTCGGAAGGCACGTTAAGCCGTTGGTCCCCGCTGCATCTGCAGTCGTTAGCACCCACCAATCCGCACTGGGCCCGCATGGTGGGTCATGACCCAATCTCCCTATTCCATCCATAGGGAAGGCCTGTGCCCCAGCAGTGGGGACATATTAATAGGCTGATGATGATGATGACACCAAAATCTCAGTACAGTAACTTATTTGTATCATTAGCTTTTAGCCTTCGTTCCAACATAGCTCGTCTATCTCTATAATTCCTAAACTTAGCTCATAAGTGAACCTCTGTAAGTAAAAATATAAACAAATAAAAACTCCTTAACTCAACCCCTTAGTAAGTAAAAACCTCAATAACTCATAGTGTTGAGTAGGACTTACAAGAGGCGGTACATTTGTCCCGGACATGACGTCAAAATGTAAGAGCGGCTCAAAATTTTAAAATGTACTACTTCACATTAAATCTCGCGATAGTCGCGTCTCGTTACTCACTCACTCTTCGTAAGTCTGAGAGAGAGCGAGGCATGACATTTCATTTAAGTCCTCTACGCACTATCCATCTGTATCTCTATCTCTTTTACGTGTATAGTGCTGTCCTGCATGCTGGATCCAGCAAGATTGATAGTGCGCAGAGGAGGTGCTACTCGTGCACACAAACGTAATGTCGAGCTTCTGTACTCCTCAATGTCATATTTGTACTCGTCACTTCAAATGTATTGCCGAGCTTCAGTACGCCTCGCCTCATTTGAAGTGGGGCATTGTAGTGGCTCAGTACAAAAAAGAGGCTACTCTTACAAACTCTTTTTCAAGTCGTGTCCTACCCAACACTAATTACTCAAATTATTTAAAGTTTCCCTTGGTCTTGATCTTATCAAGGTTCTACTGTATTTGTATTTACAGAAATGAGATATTAGTGTTAGATTAATTATCTGCTGATATTTTACTAAATAAAGCAAATATATTATATTAAAAAGTATCACTTAATAAATTACACTTTTAGGTACAGTGTAACAGAAAATACAGTGGAATTCTCAGATGAAAATATTTATCTCAGTACCCTGCCAGATATATGTCTAGTCAAACTATAAAAACAGAAATAGTAAAACAGTATTTTGATATTAAATACAGTTAAATTATTTTTTCTCTGGAATCTCGGCCCAGACTGTCCTTTGGTAATCAGCCTTTAGCAATGCAGACCTTAAATATTCGTAAAGCTACATTAAAGAAGTAATAATGAACTTACTTCTTGAGGTGTTGGAGGAACTGCTTGGATATCTTTCTGTGCTTGATCTGGAGTTATAGATGAATGGAACGATCGATAATATGTCGATGCATAACCAAAAATTATATCCTTGCACCAGTTACCTAATATCTTCTGTCTAATCCCAAGATCTAATTTTAGACACGAATTCACCAATAAGTTTAGATTTGAATAACTCATATTTTCATTACAATGCCAAACATGTACACCCTGATTCCACAGTCATGTTAAATCTGTACACAAATAAGTAAACAAATTATCGATTTAGCAGCTCTATTTAAAAAAATCTTTCAATTTTCTTGTTCGATGTAGTATTATACAGTGCGATCAAGTGCGATTCAACTAAGAATAGGACCGACTGGGCGCCATATTGTGACGTCATAGCTGTCAATTTAACCCGGTCAGGTAGAAGGAGCAAAAAAGTTTTTCTTTTTTTTTTTGGTTAATTTGTCCCTGTTGGGACGGACAGAAAGTTTTTCTTTAAAACTTATTTACCATGATTAGGTGAGAAAAAATATCAGATTTTTAAATAACATATTTTGACTATTATATTTTCTTTTTTGAGAGAAATAAAAACATCAGTTTTAATGATATTTATTTATTAAGACTGAGTGAGAAAAATCATTAATCAGACACTAGCTCTTTAATTCCGCTCATCTCTGCACTACCGCCTGAATAGTCATCATCATCACCGATTCTTTCGGTTATAAAATAAAATATCGATTATTGTAGGTTTTAATACAACAACTTTATTTAAACTAAAAACGGTTTTATTATCTGTATTTATAATAAAACTAAAGTTCTTGTATTTCCATTTTCCAGTACTTATTTTCTATACGTTCACATGATTTATTTCCTTCTTTTGTTTACAAATGTTTAGTTTTTTTTTCTAAGATTAGCTCAGTGCTAAAAAATTGTTCCAGTATTTCTTTGCAAACCGTACTTTTCAAGCGATATTTGACAGATGGAGGTCATTGGCTTTCCTATTCTTAAGCGGCCTACTGACATGCCTGCCGCAGGGACAATCTAGGGCGCAATGCGGTCGGGGCAATATCGGCTTGTCTCTGCACATATGCCTACTATTCAGTTTTCAGGGGTACAGTTTGGTAGCTTTCCAATTACAGCATTATTGTGCATTATGCGGCATAATGCTTAACGTTGAGTGTTTCAACTACAGCAACGCTTCGCATAATCGAGCACTCTCAAAAGTAATGCTTTCGTGTGATGCGTGCAATCGTACCAACTCAGAGACAGAAAATAAACGTGATTTTCTTTAAGTTGGCATTGATCAAAATGTTTTATTTATGTTATCGTTAGTATTATTATTTATTGTTGAAAAATTATTAAAACTTTCGTCTCATTATAGTTTTTTTTAAATAATCAAAGTTAATTCAAACTGTGTTAAAAAATTAAATATAAATATGGATGAAGGTACAAACATTGACTTTTTTTAACACTGAACTTAGCGAAAACTAATTCACGTTCCAATTAAGCATCAGCATAATTCGGCATTGTGCGCCACTGAGTCGCATTATGCTCTGTAATAATGGAAAACCCCCTTTGTCTATAAAGTCGTGACATTAAATGATGGCGCCACTAGTATGCATGTAGGAACCCTGTACAGTCTGACCAAAATGATTTTGATACTAGGAGTTCATTCAAGTTAAATAGGTAATTAATAAGACTGACTATACAGTCGTATTTTGTTTCTGATTTATTTATAGTAGGTACCTATGCTTATAAAAAGTTTAGCCAAGCATATTTAATTGAATCAGAATAAAATTAGTATAGATAAAATAGTACTTTATAGTGTAAAAGTGTGTAATGTTGGTGATTACCGCTGAGGTGCCATTGAGACCAGAGCCGTTAGGTAATCATCAATACACACAAGTATCATCATATGACGTTTTTAACACACTTGTAAAGAATACTAAAAATCATTTTATAGTATGGGTCAGGCCGCCATTTTTTGCTGATATGGCGCAGAAATATTGTGTTGATGGCGTAGAAACTTCTACGCGTCGGTGACGTTGAGTAGCGTATAATAGTGACGAATAAATGTTAAGGTTGGCATATACATGCCAAAATATTAAGATTAAATTATGTTGTATAACGTAATTGCACCAATTATGGACACTTTAAGGATGAAAAGGTGGGTTTTTGCAGGATTATTCCTAATATATCAGGATTTTGTTTAAACATCAATGTTGAGCTTAATGTCCGTCTTTTTTCCTTTATGCTTATGCCGAAAAAGTTAGAAATAACCGCATAAAAATGAGAAATATCATTAAAATATAAACACGGTTTTTTAAGCTAGTAATGGACAAGGAAAATCATTTAATGGACATCCAGTGATGAACATGCACCAAATATGGACATCTAATAATGAACACAGTTTAATAATGGACCCCCACTAATGGACCAGCTCGTTGAATTTAGAATAAGAAGTAGTTCCCTATATCTAAGTAAATAAAAACATCAACAATTTTATAATCAACTAGACATTTATTATATATAATTCTACGCGGTCCAGGCAGCAGACGGGACTCGAAACTGCACCCTCCGCTATCCGGGCAGATGCACTGACCATTATGTTATCGTGATCTATGCCTTGCAGCCTACAAAATACAAGCTGAAATTACACGAATGGGTTTAGTTAGTATATACACACCCTCGAAAAACATTACCCTCCTTTCTTCGCCAGTCAGGTAAAAAGTTAGTATAATAAAAACAAGTGGATACCTATCTTTATTTGTACGCCACGTAGAGGAGGTGACGAATATCTACGCTACCGTTGGCGTTGAAGTACCAAAATGGTGGCGTATTTCTACTTCTACGCTATCGTGGCGTAGAGAAAACCATTTATATCTCTGTAAATAAAGTATGATTTGAGTTGCATTATAGCTCCAAACATGGCTGTCACTTCTACTAACATGATGCACTATTTGTTTTTCGTGTAACAATCAAACTTAATTTTTAATGCACAAAAATCTTACCTTGAAAAAATAGGCTAGTTTACTCATGTCGTATTCTATTAAATAAATGTTTATTTCTTAAAGTATTTAGTCTAAGGAACCTTAATATATCGTTTTCACTCCATAAAAGCAGAAGATTGCTGTAGAAATTTAATTTAAAAAAAAAAATTTTAGTATATATTTTTTAAACACTAAAAACGCTGTTCGCCACATCCGCCATGATTTTGACGTCTCTTGTGGTAAACAACTAAATGTCATTCGCGTGTTACTGTAGGTGGATTCTTTCGTCTGACTAAATTTATCTTAAAACACTTTTAACTTTAGGAAAGAAAAAAACAGTTTTTTGACAAAACTAATTATGGATGCCGGCTTTGTGAAAGCAGAAAGCACAAATCTGCCAAGAATTGACGCATTGATGGTTGGTGAATTTGTTGCACTAAACCCCGATTTCTGCTCTGCGGAGCAGAGAAACGACAAGGCATCTATGTAAGAACAGTGCATTTAGCATTACAATGTAGTAATAAACATAAAACTGATACAACATATGAATAAGTGTAATAAAGTTGCGTAGGTTAATTTCTTTCGGCACTTTAATCCACAACTTTCCTGGAGTCTTCAAGGATGTGTTTTTATATTCTCGTACAATACAGTAATGATAATTACTTTATTTTTCGTGGTATTTATTAGAAATCATGTTTTTTTTTATTATAAACTCAGTTAAAAGTAATTTTCTACGTGTTTACGAGTTTTTGTTTACCACAGTTGACGTCATAGCATAGATAATCTATAGACTAAAATGGCCGACAGCGTTTTTGTATGTCCATGAAAAGTCTATTTTAAAATTAAAGATTTGTAGCTTTCTAGGTTAAAAAAAAATACAATACATTTTTTTTCGGTCTAATAGAACATTAATTAACTATTTAAAACCTTTTTCCAAAAAGGGTCAACTAGCCTATTGTGTAGACAAACTACACCAGACGTTCACATGTCAACTGTCAAAAATATAGCCGCTCGTCAAGCCGCTGTCCACAGATTACAGAAACTCAGTGTTCCCACTTCCCGATTTGAACTTCACCGATTCCTAAAGTTTAATAGAACATGGAGAATCGGTGGTCGATCGGTCGGACAAAGTGGCGTATAAGTACAGTTTTTGACGAAAACTTATTTGAAATCATTTTCAAGGAAATTCTTAGGATAAACGTTGCTAAATTAAAAGCACGGATAGCTATTAATATAAGTATTCTTAAAGTATCAGCTATGTCTCAAAAACTGACATACTTTTTGCTACTACGATAGTTAAAGTGCACCTCTACCTCGACGGATAAAAGTTTTTGTGTAATTTTACTACCTTTTTTCAGATTTCATTCCAAATATATTTTTTGTTTATTATCTGACTTGAAATAATCATAATATCCACTTGAGTCACTTTGTTGCTTAATCCAAAGCCGTCATCGAAAATCCGATCTCTATAATACTTTTCAAAATACTGACCGCGGAGAAAACAGTTTTCAAAATCAGCAAAAAATGGCGGCCTGACCCGTATATAAAAAGTTTATTTAGAGAAACAATTTGTAAATGTGCAGTTAGTAAAATTAGTGATAGGTATCTTCACTAAAAGCATCTGGCCATGGTTCTTTATGTGACCATTTCTTTCTTTGGTCGGCCTTGCCTGTTTTCCCAGGAGTTTCAAACTTTCCATTATTCTTAAAACCATCGTTGACTATCCGACTCTCTGATTTTCCTGAAAAAAAAAGTAAAAAAATATGTAACGGAATTGAAACAATAACTTATTGACATGAAGCAATTAATTCAAAATTGGTAGAAAACCTGACCGATTTGAACCATAATAACGTATCTAAAGAAATGGTCGTACTACAATATTACCTATTTACAATGTCAATCTAACCTAAAAATGTGCAATGTAAACAATGCCTTTTTCGGTCTCAAAATCGTAAATTTGTAACTTCAGGCAGATTACAAACAAATAGTTACACGATTACATACCCGTTATAGATGCTGTTCGGCTGTTCGCTCATAAACATCATCCAAATCCCACAAAATTCGTCCAGCTTGGTAGTCTTCGAAACATCGCTGGAAAACTTTAAAAATCACTTCCCGCGTGCCACTCCGATTTACTTTACTCATTTTTATACCTTTCTGCGTAGTTTCGTCTTAATTTATTACAGTTTAATCCAAACAATAAAAAATACAAAAGGAAAACTGTTCCACAACTGAAACTCGATGACAGCTGATGTACATAAGTTTGGTGTTGCCAGACACATGAATAATGTTAGTTCCTCAAACATTCATGTCACGACTTTATAGACAAACTGTATGTTGAGCTAAACACACGCGTTGATGATGGTCCCAGTGTCATCAAAAAATCAGAAGATCGGTAGGTAGGGGCTTGGCTTTTTCGATGGTGTTACCGCAAAAAAGGAAATACTGGGTAAAGAATTGGCAACATTAAGAAATGAATTGTAAATAAGTAATGTTTATATTACTAGAAAAAATTTGCGGACCTGGCAGCAGACGGGACTCGAACCCGCACCCTTCGTGCAGCCAATCTGGTTGACTGCTTAGACTAAGAATCTATAGACTTGACATGACAATTGACGTACTGCGTAAGAGCAGGACGTCTAGATGTGCAGTCACTAATAAGTGAGTGAGATAGAAACACGCTCTTTTTGTCTTTGTCAGCGTATCGGTTTTTTTTTTGGGCACAAGTGTAGGTTGTGCCCAACATAACACAAGCAATTTCGAAAAGTCTAAAAGTCGTTTAAATAATTATTTTTGGAGTATTCAAAGCGATTCAAAATGATTAGTATGTTTTTGTGTCGTTAAAAACAATGGTTCATTGTAGTATTTTGGGTTGTAACAGCCGTAGTGAACGGAAATTGGAAAACTTAACCTTTCATTCGTAAGTTCATTTTCATTGTTTATTCGATCTGTAAAACAATAATATCAATAAAATATGATTTACATGGTATAAATATACGTAAAAAAGGTCGTAATGAACAAAAGTAACAGTAATATTGCATTTCGCACTTGTTTTTCATGTAATAACCGAACTATTTAATGTTTCTCTTTAACGAGAACGTTAATAAAAGAAAATGGTAAAAAATATAATATAAAAAAAAGCAATAACGAGCTGACGGTAACACTTAATAAAAAACTTTTTTAACAAAACTAAAAATAACAAAAATAGATTTTAAATATTAATCTTTGTTGATACATTATGTTTTTATTCATTGAATTTTTTATGTATGAAGTTATCCAGAGGCAGAGTGAAAGAAACACATTTTTGAGTAATTACTTTATTCATTATCTATAATAAGGATGTCATTTAGAACAGTGCAGGAGCGACGAATCCGGCGTGCCTGGCATAGCCTAGGTATAGGGCTGCCATCTCTAAAATGTGGCAACCAGGATAAGACACGTGATAACCCCGGATTTTGGAGCCCAGAACCCGGACAGACCAAAAAAAATGGGTGCGTGTACTTATGTAGGCGCGTGAGAAGTTATCCTTCTTTGGCATCGTTTAAAATTAGTTTTTAATTGCATGCAAATAATTAATTACAATAAATTAATAAAAAGTCTGGAAAAGGACACAGTCAATAAAGTTCAGTTTTAATTTGAAAAAATAAATAAATAATCAAAATATTCAATTAAAATCGCTACTGAATATAATTTATTAGAACATATGTGATTTGCACTTGTATGAAACTCAAACACGTATTCCGAATATACAAACTAGAAACATGTGGATAAATATTATAAATATGAATACCTATAACTGTTACTTTATTACAAAAAATAAAGATGTGGTTTTGGTTCTACTACACCAATGGTCAAGAGATGGCGCTGTAGTCTCCTGAATCGCGCTTTGGTTCCGTTGTTCCAGATTAATAAATACTTTTGATATTATAAATATGAATACCTATAACTGTTATTTTATTACAAAAAATAAAGATGTGGTTTTTGGTTCTACTACACCAATGGTCAAGAGATGGCGCTGTAGTCTCCTGAATCGCGCTTTGGTTCCGTTGTTCCAGATTAATAAATACTTTTGATAGGCCTTCACAATGCAGTCGTTAGCACCCACTAAATAGAGATTCTATTTCTATTTTGTTGGTAGATTTTCTTAATGTGCGGTAAACACAAAAGTAACGCATGATGTTGGTCGCTCAAGCGACCAACTTCATGCTGTTAAAATTTTGTATTACAGTGATGCGCGCGCATCTTAAAATTTCACTCTCATCATTTTTTTATAACGCGCCTAAAGAAGTATAACTTCAAAAAAAAACAGTTTTAAATGTCACAAATCAACTTTTTATGTTGATCTAGGCAAAAGTGCTAGCAGTCTACCTCATAATAAGTGGTCACTGCTGCCCATGGACACTTGCAGCACCAAGGGCCACTCATGCGTTGCCGTAATTTTTTAACCCGGACTACAAATAAAACCCCGCCCGGACGCTCCCCGGACGCCCCGTAAACTAGGACAAATCCGGGGAAACCCGGACGGATGGCAGCCCTACCTAGGTACCATATAATTGATAATATGTGAGCACAAGTTCCTATGGTACGTCTACCGGTTAGACATGTACAATAATGTTGAATTATATTATTATAATTATTATTCTAAGCTAAGTCGTTATTACTGAATAATACGTAGCAGTAATAGGTCCTTGCTCGAACATGACGAGACCAGATTCGTCCTAGTAACAAACAAACATTTTGATCTATGCCGTATTCAGGCAAGTCTTCCAATGCATTTTCTCTATAAGTATCTATCGTATAAAGGCCATTATTTAAATGCTCGCTACAGTAAGATCTGGCTAGTTTGAGTTGATATGTGCCCAAAGCAAGCACAATGAGTTCTTCTTGAGTCAGTTGGGGGAAGTTCTCCACTTGCATTGCGTCAAGTCTCATACGAGTTGAGATTTATATTTATAAATAGTCTGCCCTTCGATGGTTCAACCGCTTTCTTTCTAGCCGCGGGTCAACGGGGTCAACGATAAAAACAGGTTAACACAAGTCCATAAGAAAGCCGGAGTTAACGATAAAAACAGGTAAAAATAACGATGAAAGATAAAAGAAGGAACGAACGTAGTCTCACACGCAGTACTAACGATCGACTAATGCGCACGCGCGCCCCAGCAGCGCCCGCGCGCCCACACCTTCTGTCTACCTGCCTAAATACGGGCGGGAGAGGGGATGACATCTGTACTTGATTCAGTGATTCGATTTCCCTTTTTGGTTCTGTAATAATAAAAAATGGTAATAACGGTTCCGGCAAAAATGGTTCTGGTATTTTCTGGAAAAAATAAAAACGGACAACAAATATCAGAATGCCGCCATAGTAACAAATATTCTACATGAAAAGAGGTATTCAATGATATATCACTCATCGCTATTGATACCAAACACCAATTGGATACCAAAATGCCCGTCCTCCTTTAGTAGGTAAAGATTTAGCCATAGATGAATGATTGGTCTCGATTCACTAGCGAGACCAATCATTTATCAATGGATTTAGGTATTTTTTGCGGTTTTGTAATACATTTTTTATTTATTTACTTGCTTTATATGTCTTTTTGCGATACCAGCTTTAGCCTAGATTACATAAGCCTAAATTAGGGTAATAAAATAATATAATAAAAATCGCTTTTAGATAGCACTTAAGCAATGTACGTATTTTAGATTTCCTACGGAGACTGTGGTTCGTCAAGGATGGCTATGGGCAACAGGTCGGTGAAATTGGGTACCAGCTAAAATATACTCGAATGTGCTTATAACATTTTGAACAAGATGGTTTTCGGAAAACTCAACGTGGAATGACTTAACTTAAGAATGTAAATATATATTTTATGTGGGTGCCTTCACATAAAGTGCCGAAAAAGATGACAAATCTGCATGCGAGGCTATAAACAGTATTATCATCGAGCTCGGTGGTGGGATTCCTCTGGAAATAGTCAGGGAACTTGAAGGGGAAGACTTGTGGATTATAAGAGGACGCATACAATCCCGCCTCATTCAAGCAAAAAAATACTACGTATATATTGCACTCGATCGGGCAGCAAATGGTCGTCGAGCATTAGCTCATTATTATTGTACATGCAATATCGGCAAGAGGACCATTGGATGCTGCTCTCATACGATGACCATAGTCTGGTACATGGGTTATGCTAGACATGACCCATACCTCACCCCACCTGCAATAGCATTAGATGATGTTTATGTTAGATTAGGACAAATATAAATGAATTAATACTAATAATTAATATTAATACTAATTGAATGTTGTTTCATTTTGCTCTTTATGAAAGGTACTGAATCTAAATGAGGAGCTGGTGGTATTGTTGCTTGTTTTTTTCATATTTAATATACTTGACCAAATGTATTAAATCAACACATCTTAACAACATTTTATTTCACATTGTATTTTAAAATCATGTAACAACATAACCATAGGGCGCACAGGTTTGGTGTCATAGTAAAAAATAATAGGAATTTTGTGAGCTATCCGAATATTACGCTTTTTTTTCTGGCCGGCACTTTCAGATTTGGCCCAAAAATGTATGGAACGTGAATGATGTCCTTTGCAAATTTGATCCTAAGTCCACTATTTTAAAAATCCGGACCACTGTGCGGCGGTCGAAACGTGTGACGTCATCGCGGCCAGCCGAAAATTCGTTTATTATTTTGGTCATAACTTTGTTTATGAAATTCTTAGCTCTAGAAATCTGCATTGTCAACTAAAATCGTTGCGGATCCTCATTGGTGTGTGTTGGAATAAAAAAATAATTATCGATCCTTTAGCTACTACATCTAAATTATGATTTGAATAAATTTAAATCGTTGCTAAGCTAACTCAAGGAGTAAACGATAACTCAGATCTGGGCACTGTAAATTAAAGTATCAAGTCTAATTTTTCTGTAACAAATTGGTGTTTACAGCTACAGAACAGAATTTAAATTGGCTGGTCTTTTTCTGTATTCTGTGGTCTCGATTCATTAGTCAGACTTCAATTTATTCCCCCTTTTACATTCTGTTTAGAGAATACAAGAGGACAGAGTTGGTTTTAGGCAGGGCAGTCGGAGCTGAGGCCCAGGGTCCCCCCAGTGTATTACTTTTCTCTATAGGGTCCCCCCTCACAACAAATCTATGAGGTAGTCAACACTACAATAAAGTTCTCACATCCACTTGACCGATATAGCGATATAGTTTAAAGACTCCATTAATTCTTCAGTTGCGCAGACGATTATAACACAAAATCACACCAATTTTATTTCACAATATACACTATGAACGAATTTAAAGAATAATTATAATATGACCACACTCGATGTAATCCCACCAAAAACCCGCGCCTCGGCACGCTATGGCTATGGCCGTTTTTGACGTTTTCAACTTTGCATGCCCATGAAGTTTCATAAAAATTTGTTGTCAATTTTACGGAGCTAATTACTGTATTTTATTGTCATTATAATAATATAATTATTTTTATACTAATTAGTTTTAAATGTTCTAATTTGTTTAGGGTAAGAGTTTAACTGGTTTTTAGTATAGAGAATCAATTTGAAAACGATTAAGCGATTATAGCTGTATCTGTGGTGCATGCGCAATGCGCATGTCGAATTCGTCATTCGTTCGCTTTGGCCGACATAGCGAAACCTTCATTTTTCTGATCTACTAATTTTTGCCAACGAGATTGTGCAATTATAATATTTCAAAATGCCTAATCAAGTGTTGACTATAGAGCCGCAAAATGAGCTTAAGTTTAAAGGTGAGTACCAAATATTAATGTACGTAAGCATCATCCGCCGCATTGGAAACTGGTAGTATAGTTATGTCGCGAGCTAGCTGCTGACAAATGGAGTTTCTATTTCCAGGTATCGGCGTTTTGTCAGGGTGCGGTGTTTCATATTTGTGATTTTTTGAGAGAATTTCAATTTAAAAGCTCAAAATAAGTTGTTTTATTTTTTATCTCTCAAATCAAAATGTCTCCTCTTTAACTTCTGACATGTACAGAAATGAGATGATTTGAGCAATTCGTCTTGATAATGAATACTCACCTAAAACAGAGTACCTACCTAATCCATCAACCGTGCCATATTTTTGTTCAGACAATAACAAATAATAGTGATTATCAGCTGTCTGCTTGCTATTTTAAAGGACGATGGGTATTGTGGGCCCACGTTCAATCAAGTTGAGTGAGACATCGTTAGATAGCTCTTTTTAAGTGAAGACAAATATACTATGACAACCAGTTTTAAAAAACTGCCCATTTTGAAATATACTCATTTATAGATAATGACGTTTTAGCTCTAAATATGTATAAAAAAAATTACATACAGGTAAGTATGTGATTCAAACCTACCAATGCTCATGATTTTTATGATAATACATTAAAATAAACCACTGTATTTATTATTTTAATCATTAACTATGGTAGTTTAATATTATCTCAGTTAATGAAACAAGTTCAAAGTAAGGAGTAATTGACGACCTTCGTGGCCGAGTGGTTTATACGACGGGTTTCATGGTGTCGCCGACTCGACAGGTCCCGGGTTCAAATCCCAGTGGGGGCAGATGTTTGTGTGATGAATACGATTTGAAGATGAGATAAGATGAAGAGCATTCATGAGTGTTTAATATGTATTTCTTTATAAATATACTTAAGTATGTACAATATATGTATTCTATCCGTTACCTAGTATCCCATAACACAAGCCTTACAGTGCTTACTTTGGGGCTAGGCTAATTAATGTGAATGTTGGAAATATTTATTTATTTAATTAATACAGTTTATTGTTTATCAAAATACAGTTGTAGATTAAAATATGACATTATTCTTCGTCTATAATAATATTATTTAAAAATAATGCTGGTTCAGTAAAGCCTGCATGTTTAGCATATCCTAAATATCATAAAAGGGATACAATATGCGCACAAGAACCTACTGTGCGGCATACTCTTCAGCACATTATGCAGTAACAGTAACAGTCCATTGCAAATAAAAAAATTAACCAATTATGTTTCACCAATATTTACCAAAACCAATTATCCACTCAAGTCCAAATTGAATGCCACAATCAAGTCCAAAATGATAGCAGGGAAGATGATAGTAATGAAAACCGTAATAATGTAGTCACAACACAATATCAGCCAACGACTCAATAAGCTACCTGTGCAAGTGCTCATGCTCATCCTTGGCCACACCATACTCTAGGGTGGGGGTAGGGAGTAACCAATCCCGTTAATCATTTTCCTAATTCAGGTTCACTTACTAAATAACTAATAATAAAAATTCTTACTTAAATATATTTCCAAAAAAATATCAATACCAATTGTGGCAAAATAGTATTTTTTTTAAAGATCACACCTATGTAGAGTTTATTTTGATGGAAGACTTTGTTTTATTGACTGAGATAATAATAATTAATGTAAATTGTCAATAAATATTAAAATACTAGATCAAAATGGAGAAAATGGAGACAATGAAATGAGACTGGTGCCATGGCTATTTTTATTCTACAAAGAAGGACCTTCTCAACATTGTACTATTCATTTTGATTGATGCTAGGCCCAGGTTTAAGACATTTGTGCCCATGGTCCTTTATTAGGTGGATTATTTTATATTATAATGTGTAACATCACATTTCTTAGACTAATTTTTACATTTCACTAAATAATTATTTACAGGACATAAATAATAAAATTTCTTGCTTATTTCTATTATTATACAGCTTACTTAGCCAAGAACTTCCATTTTCTACTACTTCTTGTCAAGGTTATTAGATTGTTGTTGTATTGTGTTATTAAAAACAATGAAATCAAAATAAATTTTAGAGATTAATAATTAAAGCAAAATAAATTTTAGAGATGTAAAGCCTAAAAAACTAACTGGATGATAGCAATATGATATTAATTAAAACCAATACTTACCAAATTCTAGAGAAACAATACTTTTACATTTTAAAAACTCAAACCATAGAACTATACTGGATTGTATTTTATCATATCTACCATATTCCATGCGGTGATGACAACTTGCACACAGCTTTTTTTATTTATGTAATCAATATTAATTCCAAAGTATATAGTTAATATTACTGATGTTTTTAGTTGATTTCTCAGGACTATTTGAGCAGGGATACACTACTTATATGCAACTGATAAATCCTAGTGCTGATACAGTTCTCTTCAAGATAAAAACTACAGCACCTAAGAAATATTGTGTACGTCCTAACTCTGGAGTGCTTGAGCCGAATTCAAAAGTTGAAATAGCAAGTAAGTCAAAGCTTTTAAAATGATATGTTATCTTTTAAAATTATTTGGAGATTCAGTAGTTACTACATTTGCATTGTAACTGATCTATAAAAATATCTTACCCTTTAAATACCTACTGAAATGTTGTTAACTGTAATAATAATTATATATTTCCAGTTACACCACAGCCGGTAATTGTGGATCCAAATGAAAAACATAAACACAAGTTTATGGTTCAGAGCGTCATTGCACCAGAGGGAAAAACTAACATAGATCAAGTGGTATGTGTCCAAGTCCCATGATGATTGTCAGTTTTTTTTTTCATGTAATAAAATTTTTCATTTACATATAAGTAAAAAATAATGGGTGCGTGTACTTATGTAGGCGCGTGAGAAGTTATCCTTCTTTGGCATCGTTTAAAATTAGTTTTTAATTGCATGCAAATAATTAATTACAATAAATTAATAAAAAGTCTGGAAAAGGACACAGTCAATAAAGTTCAGTTTTAATTTGAAAAAATAAATAAATAATCAAAATATTCAATTAAAATGGCTACTGAATATAATTTATTAGAACATAATGTGATTTGCACTTGTATGAAACTCAAACACGTATTCCGAATATACAAACTAGAAACATGTGGATAAATATTATAAATATGAATACCTATAACTGTTACTTTATTACAAAAAATAAAGATGTGGCTTTTGGTTGTACTACACCAATGGTCAAGAGATGGCGCTGTAGTCTCCTGAATCGCGCTTTGGTTCCGTTGTTCCAGATTAATAAATACTTTTGATAGGCCTTCACAATGCAGTCGTTAGCACCCACTAAATAGAGATTCTATTTCTATTTTGTTGGTAGATTTTCTTAATGTGCGGTAAACACAAAAGTAACGCATGAAGTTGGTCGCTAAAGCGACCAACTTCATGCTGTTAAAATTTTGTGTTACAAGATGCGCGCGCATCTTAAAATTTCACTCTCAACATATTTTTTCATAACGCGCCTAAAGAAGTATAACTTCAATAACTATTTGTAATGTTTTCCTTACAGTGGAAAGAGATCAGTCCAGAGCAACTTATGGATTATAAGCTAAAGTGTGTCTTTGAGACGCCTCGTGGTACCAACCTCAATGTAAGTATATATTAAATGTGTACAATCTATACTAATAATTCGAGTTGCTATCAATCTTGTATATTATGATTGACATATGTGTACCCATATTACATTTTTTACAATATTCTAGGATGCTGGAGATGCTGCTCAGAATGAAGTTGCAAAGAAACGAGTGGGAGTTTCAGATCAAGCAAAAGGTTTTACACAGGTATTTGTCAAAGCTGTACAGTATCTAACAGAAGTAATGTTCCCCAGAGTTGCCAATCTGATTCAGTCAAAATTAATCAACCTTTAAACTCTATTGTTCATTTACTATTTCACAATCTTATTTTTTCACACCCACATGTACTTTTTTTGTTATCCCAGCATATATTTAAATTACACGTGTTTATTATAATTTCTTACCCTTTCTCCTCGGCATGTCATTGTAATTGTCAACAGGAAGCGCAAAGCGCCACTGACAATGGAGCTAAGAGGAAGAATGAAGACCAAGCATCTGGAGCTTCAAACTCTAAAGTGGTACTAATTTATTTCTATTGCCTTTTTCTGCTGATATTTTCCAAAAAATCGGACAACTGAATCCTTTTTTGTTTTAAATTCGCATTTATTGTTTGTCGCTAATTATTGCGTAAGTAATTCTTGTGTAAACGGGTACTACCTAGTAAATATTTTTATTTCTATTTCAGATTTTCCCTAAATCTGAAAATATGGAAAGTGATTTGAGAAGGGCAACTCTAGAAGTTATATCGTTGAGGGAAGAAGAGCACAGATTAAGACAGGAAAATCTGCAGTTAAAAGTAAGTCTAGTAACATTAAAACAATATTTAGTTCAAACTAACTAACATTTTACCACATTATTTATTTATTTCATATATTTATGCAGGTCGCCCTGAAGGTCCAGTATTGTCATTTCTAAAGGTCTCTTTTATACAGGAATAAAGTATTTTGTATATTGATAACAACATACATTTTTTGGGTTTGGGATGTAATGTAATAGATTTTTATCAAGAAAAATTTTTGATCTAAAATTATGGAAACAGAACGAATTACACACTAATGTGTTTCACTAAATTAAAACAAAATGGCACATAATGCATTTAGAGAGATAATGCATCTATCTTGCATAGCTCTCACGTATTTTTGTTACAAGGTGAATATCGTAAGTAGGTTTACCCCTCCAGTAAGTGTAATTATGTAAACAACTTTAAGTTCCACATAATGTACTCTCTGATTGGCTTGTAAATTCAATTACATTTAAGTTACTTTATTATAGTGACAATAAAAGAAACAATAGTTCACTAATATTTATGAGCCTTTTATACTTTTAATTTATTCAATATCAAATATGGTTCAAGTGAAGGATATTTGCTAGCACAGGGACAGAAAGGTCAAAGGACTTTGGAGTAGATTTTTGGCAAATGTTACTCAGTACAGATAGATATTTCTACACACAGATAATGATAAAACTCAGAGAGGCGATTTACAACATTGAAGAAAATGGAGAATCTTCTGTCTATTGGCAGAGGACTTGTAAAATGTGCTCTATGTCTAAACACTCAACATTTGCATCTCTATCAGAGATTAGTAATATGCAGCTCTATGGCGTAGGTGAGCGCTTTCGGTCTGCAATTGTGGAAGTTAGCAACTTTCGCAGTGTTTGGTTATATGATGGGTGACCAAAACTTTACTAAATCGACCTCCTCTGCGCTGTGGTAGGTACATTAAGCCATCTACAGTCGTTGTTAGCACGCACCAATCCGCACTGGGCCCGCGTGTTGGGTCGTGCCCAATCTCCCTATTTCATAGGGAAAGCTTGTGACCCAAGTGGGGACATTAATGGGCTGATGAGGATGATGCTTTGAAATTACTATCCCTAAAAATCACCATTCTGAAGCAATTTTACATATTTTTAAAGCCCAAGAAAAGTGTCAATGTGCTATTTCCACAAGAGTTAAAATAACAATCAGCCCCTTTGTCTTACAATACATTTGTCTATATTATTTATAATGTACGTTACGTGGAATACACACCCTTATAGTGTGTTTCAAGTAGTTCTTTTTGCTACTTCCTTCAACTGATTTTATGGATTTGATTAAAATGCTTCCCTTAATATGCCTTTGTTACGCATAAAGTTATACAATCTTATTATCTTATATTGTGTTGCCTCTGCTTTGCTAGATTTTTTTTTATTGTATTACTACGTGTATGAGTCTGCTTGACGACGAATATTGTTAAAAAAATAATGGTGGATCTAGCTTTTTCATGTCTGCTAATAAGGCAAACCCGACGACTAGTTCCATCCTTTGAGACTGCGTGAAAACTAACTTGCACAACTGTATGTTAATTAGTAATTCTTTCCAAATCTTTGTGACTTGCGCGGAATATTTATGTTTAGTTTATTCATCAAAATTGCGGTAAGTACAATACTTTCAATTTTGATGGAAGCTAACTCCAAAAATTATATGATCGTGAAATAAGCGCAGGCCACATCGACAGTGGAACAAGCTAGCTAAGCGAAAGTCTCCTTTTCTACTTGCTGGAGGCTGACCTTTACTATATACCCTGGCAAACACAATAAAGTCTGCGCAGTGGCAATTTTACATACAAAGTCGTCTACTGCGCAAGTTTATTTACTCAAGAAGTTTGCCGCTACTTGCTTCATTCCTAGGGTTCATCCGTCACGCAAGGCAGTGTAGGAACCGTATTAATTAATAGATAGCTGTCAACTCTGAGAGCGATCTTGAGTATGATGTTGAGATGCTGTTTTGTATGAATACAGTATCCCACGAACGTAGTCTCATAGTTGAGAACGATTTTTTAATACGGGCCTTATTAGCTCGTTCATTCGTGTTGTGAGCTTGCGTTTTATTTATTTATATATTATACAAAGCAACACCCACACTTGCCTAAGCGACTGTTACCAAATTTGATACGAAATTATCTTTTGAAAGTACCATAAGGGCCTTTCGTCCTATATCGACCTCCGTGGTGGAGTGTTATACATAGTTTTTCAAGGTGTCGCCGACTTAGAGCTCCTGGGTTCGAATCCCGGTGGAGTTAATGTTTGTATGTTAATAAAAACATTTGTACCTAAGTCGTGGCTCTTTATTTATATATGTTTACAAAAATATACTTATATTTCTATAATTATTTGTATTTCTACCCTAGTATATCGATGGCGTAAGTGCTTAGCGCGTTCATAAGGCATGTTATGCCGTTGGTCCGGCAAATGCATTGTTCTGTATCCAAAACAAGTGCCTATAGCACTAAAGTTACGAAAATTATTCACAACAGAACCACTATAGAACCAGCAGTGATAACTACAATAAGCTTAATGAATAACTCAATTACATATTACAGATATATGTTTTTCAGTATTTGAACTGACACACTTAATGAAAGACTATTCGTGATTACACTTTGTTTTACGAAATCAGCTCATATCCTTTTATTAATAAACAAAGACTAAGTAAGCTTGGCTTACTTACTCCATGTTTTGTCTCTGTTCATTGAGTGAGTTCAGTGTTTGACAAGTGACATTTGAATGAACAAAACACTTCGTAACCAGTCGAAGCTTATTTCTCATCCACTCATAAGGGAGATTTTGATTAGTAATCGATAATCTTGAATGAGATCACATCCACCGAGTCCTTAACAGTATCAAAAATTCTTATCGCACAGCGAGACAAAAATGTTGTGTTTTTTGCTCACAAATTTTTATGGCTACTTAGCAATAGCAGCAGTTGCGAATTCAGTATGGTAAGCAGCTGCATTTTTTATTGGTAATCCGATTATACAACTTGGATGCGATTACAATAATAAATAGCGATTTCGGGTGCATTCGTTTTATTTGCCAAATGTATTAGTGCGTGCGCTGCCCTAAGCAAGAGCGCTGCCCTAAGCAAGAGCGCTGCGATGGCAAAACCGCCTCACGCAGCGCTGCTCTATGAAACTGCACGCGGAGCGAACGTCCGCTCCGTGCTTCCGCTTTAGACAGGACACGCCCTTAATCTTAATCGGTTATTGCTCGCTCGACATTAGTAATCAATGTTATTTTACTGTGGTTTTCTTTAAAGGTGAGGAGATTACTTCTCCGAACAGGTATTTCGATTCAAGCTCAATAGAAAGAGCTCTACAGCGTTTTATGTAGCGGCATACCTAATAAGGAAAAGCTATTGCGAGAAATTTAATAATATTAATTTGTACATCGGATTTTTAAGTGCATTAAGACAAAATAACCGTGGCCTGTGCGCCATCCTACTTAAAAACTACACACCCGATAACATTTTGATTGTATAAAGCAAACACTATATTAAACACACCTTGCTATATTTCCTCTTGTCAACATATCGATTTTCCAACGCAAATAGGTTTCTAAATTTTGGGCTTAAAACTATCAGCATTGTTTACTTACAATATTTAAGCCACCAACACAGGTTGGCCGAGGGTTGTCCAATACCAACAAATTTGGCTTGCCTCGCTATAGCTAGTACCACAAAATAAACATAACAGAAGTTAATCTACACAAAGTGCGCTCGAGCAACGCACACACGGACACCGCTCACGATATCTCGAACCAGGGGCCCAATTCTCGCGGCATAGATATTATATCACCTTCGATATATGTCGAATGATCTGGCTTTTATCGAAGGAAAACCTTTTTGCCCTATTCTCACCATGTCGCAATAGATATTTATCTACGGATGATCAGTAGACATACATCGACTGGTAAAGAGCCTTCGATATATAAATATCTATGGATCTTGGCATGTCAATCTTATTATTTCCACTTTTTTTACCTATTCTTTATTGTGTTGTCGTGTGTCTTTGCCAATTATTGTTACCTCAAGACGTTGTTAACTGCTTTCATAAATAATTAGTAAATAAAGAAGTAGGTAAATAATGGTGTCGATTCTGGCGTGATTCTCTAAACTTAAAACTAAATTTAATATCGGTCTCTCTTTTTCATTCTGTATAGAGAATGACAAGGAAACACTGTTGTCAAGTTTAAGTTTAGATTTAGAGAATCGTGCCAGAATCGACACCAGTTTATATTAACGATGGATGAGTTGATTCATGTTTTCGTCAATGATTTAATAAATGACGTGATTGCTGCTGCTGTGCTAAGGCGCCGCCGTTGTGAGAGCAAGAGGGCCCATTTGCAATGAGGGACGCCGACTTCATAGAAAAATTACGTTTAAACAAAAATTTGGTTAGAAATCTTTAAAGTTATGAATGACATTGGTATCGATTCTGACACAATTCTCTAAACTTAGAACTAAATTTAACATCAGTCTCTCCTTTTCATTCTGTATGGAGAATGACAAGGATACACTGTTGTCAAATTTACGTTTAGGTTTAGAGAATCATGCCAGAATCGACACCATTTTGTTATTGACGATACGGAGTTTTGGCGGGATTTCTGCGAGTGCGGTTGGCATCTTATTTTAATTATTCTAAAATTCGTTCATAGTGGATATTGTGAAATAAAATTGGTGTGATTTGGTGTTACAACCGTCTGCGCACCTGAAGCATTAGTGGAATCTTTAAAATATACGCTATTCCGGTCAAGTGGACTCGAGAACTTTATTGTAGTGTTGAATACCTCACAGAAGCTTAGAGAAAAAGCCAACTCCATAAATTTCGTGCCAAACACTCCAAGAAACATTAGAATGCGTCACACCGACATTCGAATGTAAAAAAAAGAAGATTAATATAACTAAAGACTAGGCTTTATGGGCATTGTTCCATTTGCCTTCCCTGAAAAGGGAGAATCTTAAATAATATTGACGTTTCATTATACATAACGTCGAAATTATAAACGCATACAATTTAGGTGAAGTTGAGATTTCTTATACTCAAAAAATGTATACTCATATTTAATATGAATGGAATTCATAAAATATCATTTTGTTGCTTGTAAAATTCTGCTCTAATTTATTATTATTTTATATAGACTATGATGTTAACTTAATGGAGAAAAACGGAACGCATTCGGCAGTGAAAGAATATCTACGATAGATATAATATCATTGGAATATCGAAAATCCACGAGAATAGCATTTTTTACCATCAGTAGATATTTTCAATAGATATCCCTACTTTCGATATTATCTCGAAGCCGATATAATATCTACGCCGCGAGAATTGGGCCCCAGTTCAGACCACAGCGAGTGCGAGTTTCACCCGCTTGAGACGCGTTTGAACTTTTTTGTGCAAAAATTAAGGAACCAAAAACCATGTTTATGTATCTGTTCAGTAGACTGTTGTTTGACTTCAACATTAAGCGGTGAATTGTCATTTTTTTAATTTGTAATTTAACAACATTGTTATAATTGAAATATTTTAGTAATTATTGGTTTATATTTCCGTTCTTTCTGTTTCATTGTCGACAATAAATCAAAAAACTAGATGGGGGTGCCACACTACCGTCATATTTTTTTGTGCATATGTAAACAATCCTAGCGCGACCGCCGAGCGTAGGTATGCAAAATGAAGTACATACATGAGATTACCTTCTGTTATGTCTATTTTGTGCTAGTAGGCTGTGTTAAGACAACGTATAAAGAACTCATTTTAAATCGCTTGGCAAAACTCGCAACCACTCACGATAATTAGGTCCACTTCGGAGCGGTGTTTTTCTGCACAAATCAAATGCGCTCCCACTTTCGGTTAACCGCGAAACGACGGACAAAATGTGAACACTATCACTTGTGTGTCCGTCATTACGCGGTTAATTTTCATCGCTTTTGACTTTTGTCTTATCTTTTTCACATATTTTATCGTGGCGAATACTGACGCGCCCTCATTAAATAAATTAACGACTATATTGTTAAAATACCACCTTACTAACAAAAACCAAATTTTATAGGTGAAAAAAACGTTTTCGTTTTTAGTTGCTATAAAATTCGCTTTGGATTAAAAAATATAAAATAAGAGTTTTCAGCAGATTCGATAATAACTGGCAGAATACATCCAATGTGAGGGCAGCTTCAGAAAAGTAGCCTACATAGGCCACTTGCATTGGTTTTCTTCAAATTTTCCGAATTTCTAGAGACTAGTGATTTTCAAAGTGACCTAGATGGCCGCAACGCTCTATCGTTAGGTGTCATGTTTTTTGTAAATTTTCGGCAATATGGTAGAAATGTAGAAACCATAGAATTATGTAAGTGGTCAAGGAGAAAAAACGTTTAGGTATCTGATGTAGACAGAATCATTTGCCTTGTATCAATTTCTCTTCTACTCGTCATACTCGCTCGCGTTAGCCTAAGCTCGACACCAATATCTGTTGCCGGTTTCAGACATCCAGTTAAATGCGGCTTCACTTTCGTTTTGTTTGACGTTTCTTCAGTACATAAATGTTTATTGGGCAGTCCCTTGTTCATACATTGCAACCCCTTAGGGGTTATGGCGTGAGTGTTACCTTTTTGCTATATTTATGTATACATCGATGTCGTACAGCGCGCACGATAGCATTTTCACGTCACACACGGTCTTATGTAGTACTATATGGCATCCAAATAGCGGTTATTCGTAACTGGTTTTCATTAGGCTTAGTACTACATCGTTGTATTAAATATTATCTCATCAAATCTGTGTAAGATCCAAGTACACGTTAAATCTTTATAAAACCGTGGCAGTGGTGATGTGTTCAGTTTGCTATCGTAGAAAATAAGCAACTTTTCTAGAAGTCAGTAATGGAAGTCAGTAGTCGATCAAGATATTGTATTTCGAACTCCTTACGTACATATAAAGACACGTTAAGTCATTGGTCCAAACTGCATATGCAGTTGTTAGCACTTAAAATTTCACACTGGCTCTGCCTCTATCCTGATGATTACATCAGTCAACACGGATTTTGAGTCTGAGTTCTGTGTACCAGATTTTGATTAATTACACCTAATTAAAGTGAGAAGCGATATTTTTATTTATTAAAGTTTGCTTTTGTAGTTAGTCAATGTCAGAGTGAAATTTTAGAAAATAAATAGCTGTTTTCCTTTTAATTGTATATAACAAGAAAATAAAAACATATTATATATAAAACAAGTCTATATATTCAGAAAATATAATAATTTAGTTTGAAACATTGAAATTTTTGGTATTTCGTAAAATTTATAGTCCCTTAAAATTCCGGGAAAAATGTCTTCAGAATATTGCATAGAGCCTTTATAAATTGTTTCATCTAACCTATTTTTTATGCAACGAAGCCATTAAAATAAGCACAAGGTCCATAACAAATCTTTATATAAATAACGCGTCACACGTTGTTTGTCTGGGGTGGCTCCTAAACTACTTAACCGATTTTAATCAAATTTACACACCGTATGCAGTTTGGGCGCTTTCAATTTATGCGTTTCTTGACGGCCTGCTGCGCATAAATTGAAAGCGGCCTTTGATTCAACTTGAAAGATAGGATAGCTTACATCTCAATTTATTGTAATATATGGTAGAAAAAGATATTGCAAGCGGTACGAAGTTCGCCAGGTTAGCTAGTAAGAATATACTTGATACTATATTTCTTTTTTTGACACTCTTCAAGTCTGCTGGTGGTGAAGTAAACATTGAAATTTAGTATAAGCTCATGTGACGCCCATATTTTTATCCTGACCTCGAATAAAAAGTTAAAATTAAGCTGCATAGGCTTTACTAAGTCTTTTGCTACTGGATAAAAAAAAAATTACTCTTAATTTCACAAAAACTTTGCGAATATAGCAAACAGAGTCCACGTAGTTTTTACTGATTTTTGAAGGCGTTTTAACGCTCTTTTGACTCACAAAATACTTCGTTTCTCTAAATGTGTGTATACTGAGAGACTGCTCTACTGCTTCCTGTTCAATATCCTTCTGCATTCCTTTCTCTTGCTTATTAAATGCATAATGCCTCGGCCTTTTACAAACTACATATGTTTTTATTTAAAGTGTATGATTTTTGTACTATAAAGTACAAAAGCAAACTTTTAAATAAAAATGGTGTTTTTGGTTATTTTACGATGTAAACCCCTGAAATTGAGTGCCCTTCTAGGATATAACACCTACTGTTCGGTAGACCACAGTAAAATAACACATTTTGATGATGTTGTGTTTTTGGCAGTGAGTTAAGTTTCTAATCAAACCTCCACGATTTTGGAGACCGGCATGGTGAAGATGGCTTCATCGGCACATTCTTTTGCCCCTTTAATCCCAGTCGCCCCCACGGGAATTGCCACCAGAGGCTAATATAATGTGGTAATTTACTGCGTCCTGTAAAATAAAAATCGTTGATAACCCCATTGTTTTTGCAGGAGGAGTTGCTTCGCCTCAACCAATCGGCGGGCGGCGACGGGCGCGCGATACGCCCGCACTCGTACGGGCCCGAGAAAAGTGCACAAGTGACCCCCATGCCGTGGGTCGCCACCGCCCTCCTGATGGCCCTCATCGGCATCATCATCGGCAAGTTCCTCATGTGAATCACCTAAACCAAAGCCTAGAGCTCCAGGGCCGCGCGATGACCCAATACCTGCAGCCACCGCAATTACACCACTCATACAACGCTACTACTCGCGCAAGGCAGCTTAGGTCCCTAGCCCCAAGCGAGAAACGGGTCCCGTCAATAAAGAACTCGACAAATTTTATAATACGTATTTATATAACAAGAGTCTCACACCAAATGCAGGACACGCATATTTATGTTAAAGGGTCTTAAATTAACAACAAGGCTCACTGTAAAATCAAGCACACAACTAAATTGAACTCACCCATAGTATTAGTCGACACACCGAAATATCACAACGATACATACCTTAGATTAATAAAAAAGGGAAGATAAGGTACGCTCATACAAGCATCAAATAAAATGTGATCCGGCTACATAAGCAACTGTCACACACGCACATGTCTGTATATAAACATTCATTCGAGCGAGCGAGACAGAACTGTACGCTTCATCGCAGCGCGAGCGAAACGCCGAGTCCGCTTCCAAGTCCGTACGGATGAGCAGTATTGTTGTCCTTTTCTCGATAACAAAATGTGATCTTTGAGAAAAAAATGTTTTTACAGTTTTACGGATAAAGTGTTGCCGAGGCGTTTGTTATTTGACTTTGAACTATATGTGTTCTTTATAAAAGCATCGAAGGCATTGTTTTATCTTTATAACACAGAATATACGCAATATTATTATATTGAGTGCACATCCAGCGTGTTTGAATATCCAATTGTGACTAAAGCGAATTATGGTCATCAGTGCGTCTTTGACTTATTGGAGGCCCTGGGCATATTAGGATAATGGGGCCCCTATGACCCCCGTTTGGTGATCTAACAAGAACTAGGGAGTTTGTATTTGTGATCTGAGGTGCCCACCTATCGATCACGGGGCCCTGGGCACTTGCCCAAAGTGCCCACTGGGAAAGACGGGTCTGATGGTCATGCACCACAATTTAAGCGGATTTCTTTTGAGCCGCGAGTGCCGTATCTTTCCTTTTTATTTTAATCTAAAATACAGACACACATATTTACGGAACTAGTCAAAATATAGAGTGAAATATAGTTTTAAAATGAGACTCTTAAAAAAATAAACGATATAGGATTAAGGTTGAATTATTACACTATTGCAGTTCATAGTTCACTGTACGATGACAGCGTTCTAGTGTAGTATCAAATGTTTGGTAAATTACAAATCTAATGTGCCCCGTACGTGGCACTATCTAGTATAAATTCATTCTTTTAGACGGGGGCCCAACGTCGTTTTTACTTTACTTACGACGCAGACGTATGACCCATGATCGTACATATAACGACTCTTATTGCTCCGTAATCCTTCACGCGGCCTCCACTGTATTCGAGTTTTAATAAAAATGGAGTGGTATAGCAAAGTCAGTAATTCATACCACATATAACCCAGCTTATACGAACATAGTCACACACCCATACTTGATTAAACTCAGGCTGATAAAATAAAAAATACCTAACTTAAATCTTTCGTTCAAGTAACAAACTGAATTGCTGATTTTAAAAATTCAAGAATTATAGTAACAATGGATAAATTGTATTTATATTCTGAAAACTATTTGTTTTTTATGAATACTATTGGCTTATAATTCTTGTTATTGACAAGGATTGATATGCAAAGGAATAAATTAGCTGGCTGTAATATTCATTAAGTCTTTAAAAAGTAGCTTGATTAGAATGTAAGGTATAACTTTATGGTGATGTTTAACGAGTCATTTATATTACTTACTGCAATATATTTCGTTGGTGTTTTTTAGAAGTCAAACAGAGCCATTATTATAATAGAAAGCTACTTTATACCTGAGTGACATATTTTATCGCCTTTAAATAAATTTATCGTATGCAAAGCCTGTCTCCCTTTCATGAACACCGCGATATAATAAATAGCACGTTTTTATTACGCACAATTTTCAAATAACCATGGAGTTCGACAGTCGGACGCGATAAAAAAACGTGTTATAATTTTAAATTGTGGTGCTCACGGGAACTGGGCGGAATAAAGATATCTTAATATAATTAAGTTCTACATTTATATAGATTTGGTTACTTCTTCTTCAGCAATTGTCACATTGTAATCAAGCTATTCGAAGGCCAAAATTTTAGTAAGCATTATGTATTCTGTTTGTAATCAAGCTATTCGAAGGCCAAAATTTTAGTAAGCATTATGTATTCTGTACTGTTACTTGTTGATATACAAATAAGTGTTGGGATCTTTGGGACCTCTCGAGTTTAAAACGCATTTAAATTGCTGATAACTGCTGCAAGTGTTTGACCGTAATGAGTGGGCCTTAACTTTAAAAATACTATTGATATAATGACGGGACCCCACATGCGTCCGATCTACGTCTGCTTTGCGAGAGGTTGATCTCTTTGACTTAATAAAGGTGCGAGATAACAGGTTTTCGGTTACAGCCACACATACACCGACGTGACAATGTAATAACGTATTCCTTTGATATAGAGCCGAAAACTTGCAGCCGCCTCTTTGTAAACATTGTGTGCGCATCAAACAGTTGGACAGATATCACAGTAACAGTTGAATCACTGTCGATTTAAGTGTATAAATCAATTGAACGAATGTTTGAAACTAAAAACTATATGAGTGTTCGAGTGTTGCTGTGACACGCTGAAACACGATTTCAATCGTGCTTAGAGAACGAAGTAACACTAGCCACGTTGTTTGTATCATCTGTAATTGATCCGTTTTTTTCACATTTACTAAATTGCATTATTTAATTAGCTATTTTTACAACCAATAACAAAGATATTTGAGCAGCCAAGCAGTGACATACACGGGGTGGGTTATTTCGAAAGACAGAACGCAGGTGTTTAAAAGTTTGGGGTGTTAACATATTCGAGCATATTGCATAAGGTCCGGTATAATTGTGTGCTATGCCTAAGGGCTTGTAACAGCGATGTTCAGTCTAATGCTACGGGCACACTGTCGCGCTATCGCGAACATTATCCGTTTTCATAAGAAGGCAGGCTAAGCAATAGTTACTTTTCTCACCGTGTTCTGATATGTGATCATTGCTTGGCCGGACTGTCCTCCTGAAAATGTCCGCCATAGCGCGACAGTGTGGCCGTAGGATAATAGTTAGTACTAATGGAATAACGGGCAATTCTGGATGGTATGCAGCCTTGTATCGTACTGCATCTAGCTTCATCATATGCCGCACTTGTGTTCTTTCCTATATTTGATGACAGTTTGGAATAATTATATTTAGTTTTTTCCTTGTATTTATTTTATTAATATTTATTATTGTTGTTTGTGTCGCCCAAGAATAACTAATTCATACTCACTTGTTTTTGTCTACTTGAATCTGTTAGACTTCATGACATATAATGTTTAAATATGACAAGGAAATATGTATTAATCAATCCAGATAGATACACAATGATAGCAGTACGAACGTATTAAACCAAGATACTATTGTTCACATTATGATTAATTGTGCCTTCAATTGTAATCTGCAACATTAACAAAATATTATACCATGTAACTTTGCAAATTCAAACCGGTGTATAAAAAAAAAATACTAAACACGCGTTTTATAGATAAAAGTGGTCTACCGTGGAGATGGATTCCTCATAGTGAATGCCTTTTTATAGTATCAATAGTGGCTAAACTATTTCAATTATCTTGTGCTCCTGGTGAGTGAACTTGCTGCCACAATTTATCATGTGCTTGAACGTTTTGCCTAATAATAAGGCATTTGTTTTTTGCAAACTTCGTTGTCCCAGCTGTGCAATAAAAAAAAGTTTGATTCTTTTTACCAGCAATGACAAGATTTCGAAATGGATGAAAAAATATTTTGCAACGAAATTAATATATCATCTCGCATTGGCAGAACACAAAAAATAAAAATAATGTACGTAGGATGACTTGGTAAAAATCATTTATTTGTATATATATCTGCACATTGGGAATGACAGAAAAATAGCGAAGTTGCTGCTTTTAAAATAAATTACAGTGTATAATCTGACTTCAGCTGAGTTTTTATGTAAAGGACGGTGTTACGGACATAAATTCTCTGTATCAAATTAATGTAATTGGTATTCAAATATTACTTCAGTATAATGTAAGCTGGCATTTATATATACTCACTAAGTCTTTAAGAGCTCATTTTAAGAGACTACGATTGTAGGGCTCAGGGTTAGGGTACCAATAAATGCACCATTAAGGCATTTCGGAATTTCAAAAATTATAAGCACCAACTTTATTGTGGCTGGGCCAAATAAATGCTACTTTTGTATATTTAAAAATACATTGAATTTTAATATAGCCATAGCCAATATGTCATTAATGGATATAATTTATTAAATAATAGAGATTTAATGCAAAATGACCCAAAATCACCAGTGAATGAACATTTCGTACTCCAGTGAATGAGCAATCACAATTTTCTGACAATTTGTTTTTATTTTAAATTAATAATAAAATTTTGAATTAAAACGTATGGCATGGGAAACTTTATCTCTATAGCAAAAAATATTTTTCCTATGATTGGGTAGGCTATTTATTTCACCCCATCTGATGTCAGATGGTGGTGCACTCCAGACGTGAAAACTGGTTGTTGCAGCAGTTTTAACTGCCACACCAGCCACCCACAGTTTGCCAGCCTGCAAAAATACTTCTTCATAACTATATTGAAATACCCCGGTTAGTAACAACGTACGCATGCTAAAAAATCACTTGAGAGTAGTACCATAGTGAAATGAGTCACCAAATTTCCTTGTTCGCACTGAAATCTTGGCTATAATAAGCTGATGTTAACGCGAGCTATCGAGGCTCTATGAAGGAAAGAGGGGTGGGATAGTATTATATCCTCAGAACACACAACATAATTGACAAGGGGTCCCGAGATCGTAAGTCGCCTCTTAATTGCCAATGTTACGGGTCACGCTACACGCAGCAACGTAGCCAAAAGCATCGACATTAACACAAGACCGCTCTTTAATTTTGTACAACAAGTAAAGATAATCGTGCGTGAGAAAACGTAGCGTCTTGTTTAGAAATCCGAGTTTTAGTGAAGCTATTTAAAACAGTAATCTCTTTCATCTTTCCTGATGCACATGGAACTGGAGTTTAGCTTTAGTAAAATCAAGTCTACTTGCATTTTTCTTCGTCGAAGGTTTGTTCCGTTAGTTACGAATTTCTAGTTACAGATATTTTATTATTTCACCTATTGCTTTACGATTATTAGATTGTGGAAGTTCTGATTATTTTTGTAACTAATACTAAGATTAATGCTTAATAATTTACAAAATATATATAGTTCATTTATTGGTTCCAAATAACCAATTTGTGAACCAGGAAATATTACTAAAATGATTTTTTTTGGTTAAGAAAATGGTGGTTCGAATATTGGCCTAAAGAAAATGATAATCTTTATTAAACCTCCCTTCACAAAATTAATATTTCGTTAACAGAACCTGTGAATGAACACCCGTTCATTTGTAGGATTTCTCATTTTTATGATCCAGTAATCGAGCCCTTATTATTATAAAACAAATAAAATTATTTACAAATTTCGTTCTGTTGAATAAAATAACAGATAGATAGAGTGAGCCACGCTTAAAACAAAAATGCAGTGTCTTAGCGAGTACTTAATTCTTGCTCATACAAACACATATGCAACACAACGCGTCAACTATAAACAGTCACCATTTTGTAAGTACGTCTCACTGAATATTTTTGTTCGAACCAATTATGTGTTTAAACCTGAGCTCTCGTAAAAAGCATACTGTGTTTAGTGGAAATCTCTAGTTTTCTTATTTTATTGAAAAAACTGACTTGTTCATTCACTAGAGGGTGTTCATTCACAAGTACACTTACCCTAAACTATATTTAAAAACGGGTATTTTTAACAGATTCCACCGTTTTTGTATCAATTAAAAAGGCCTGTGCTAACAATAATGAGGACATAGGCTGATAAAAATGGTAAGGTACATTTGTGGTATGGATATTGCAGTAGAATTATTCGGTAGCAAGAATAAGCTCAGCTTGGTCAGAATGCACAGTGGTTCGCAGTGCGGATCATACAACAAAATAGTTATAAAAATTACAATTTATTATGTGATTGGATTTTGTAACAGACGCAGTGGCGTTTGTATATACGATAGGTAGTGACCTATATGATAATCTCTAGATGGCAATGTCTGGTTTATTACAATAGCACACCTTTAATCGTAGATTTGTGTCAATGTCATTAGACTTTGTTTTATAATTGAATATTGTAAACTCTTTTGTCCGTGTTCAGGCTTTGTTTCTACGGTAAATATCATGCAATCCATACATTCAGCTACTGTAAGAAAAACATTACATTAACGTTTTCTTTACCACGGGCAAATGAGGAAATTGAACAAAACAATCAAGTATATCTAAACATGACATAGTTTTTTTTTTGAATCAATTATCAAGTAAAATTATTGCATTTGATACGCAGTATGTAAGTTCCCTTGGGCCGTCTAAGAAACCGTAGCTTCGTAACTGGTTTCGGTGAAGGAATTATTCTTCTCTTACGGAACGGTTTCGTAGACGACCGAAGGGGTACAGTTGCATCCGTATTTAATTTCGTTTTAACTTACAACTACAATCATAACAGAGGACTTCTTTACATAGACATGGTTTATCGATATTATGTATATTTATGTAATGTTTTATACTATTATAGCAGATCTGTCAATAGTATAATAACATAAACTATAGATGTACGAAATGACTTTGAAATTAAACGAATTTTATTTCGTAGCTTTGATTAATTATAACATATTTGGGACAATCGTATTATTGTAAAAGAGTTGGTAGTTTATTTTTACCACTTTATAAAGGATGGTAATGGTTTTCATAAAGCACGCTATCGGGATGGTGTAAATGGTCTTAGTATTATCATGTAATATCTTATTGAATATAAAAATAGTTCAGACGATTTCTTTCTTTCTTACTATTTATTGAGTTAAGTACCCCGAGGTCGATACCTCGTAGTTGGTGAGATACCCTAATCTCTTATCTATTAATGAAAAATTTAGTCAGCGAAGTCGACCGGCCACCTTATGTAGGTCAGCGGCTTTTCTTTTTAAAATCATATTAAGTTTTGTGATGTCTGTTGGAAATGTACTACCTACCTGATAAATTATTAATCTGTTGGATTATCTATATTAAAAAAACGTAATGCTTCGTATTGTATATTATATTTAAAATTAAACTTATTCCATTTTTGCTGCTTTCACCAGTATTGTTTAATTATTTATTTTGGGAATTATGTATTGGATTGAGGATATTCGAAGCATCCATTCTTAGTTTTACTTCAATAGGAAATATTTTAAATTTTTGTGTATGGTATTGTTGTTAATTTAAACTATTATGCTATATTGTATCGTTTTCTGAAATAAAAGACTTAATTTATGACGCTTTTTTTTGTACTTTCTATCATCACTTCATCCCTAGGTCCATGGCGATTATTATTAATAAGGATAACATTGGGTGGTGGCTTGTTAACGAGACGATTGGCTATATTTCTGATTCCACAGGCAGTATTCTGCTTGAATACGTCGATGCATCTGTCGACGTGTAGAGGAGGCATTACTGATAAATCTGCGGAACTCGCGCGAAAGCCGTCGAATGCGTCTATAAAGTTGTGACATGAATGTTTAAGGAACTAACATTATTCATGTGTCTGGCAACACCAAACTTATGTACATCAGCTGTCATCGAGTTTCAGTTGTGGAACAGTTTTCCTGTTGTATTTTTTATTGTTTGGATTAAACTGTAATAAATTAAGACGAAACTACGCAGAAAAGTATAAAAATGAGTAAATTAAATCGGAGTGGCACACGGGAAGTGATTTTTAAAGTTTTCCAGCGATGTTTCGAAGACTATCAAGCTGGACGAATTTTGTGGGATTTGGACGATGTTTATGGGCGAACAGCATCTATGACGGGTATGTAATTGTGTAACTATTTGTTTGTAATCTGCCTGAAGTTACAAATTTACTCAATTTACGATTTTGAGACCAAAAAAGGCTTGTTTACATTGCACATTTTTAGGTTAGATTGACATTGTAAATAGGTAATATTGTAGTACGACCATTTCTTTTGATACGTTATTATGGTTCAACTCGGTCAGGTTTTCTACCAATTTTGAATTAATTGCTTCATGTCAATGAGTTATTGTTTCTATTCCTTTACATATTTTTTTACTTTTTTTTTCAGGAAAATCAGAGAGTCGGTTAGTCAACGAAGGTTTTAAGAATGATGGAAAGTTTGAAACTCCTGGGAAAACAGACAAGGCCGACCAAAGACAGAAATGGTCACATAAAGAACCATGGCCAGATGCTTTTAGTGAAGATACCTATCACTAATTTTACTAACTGCACATTTACAAATTGTTTCTCTAAATAAACTCGTTTTCTTAACAAGTGTGTTAAAAAACGTCGTATGTTGATACTTGTGTGTATTAATGATTACCTAACGGCTCTAGTCTCAATGGCACCTCAGCGGTAATCACCAACATTACACACTTTTACTCTATACTTCGACTTTTTATTAGCTGCAGTAAAATGACGTTTCAAAATTTCATTCCGTAAAATAATGTTGACAGCCTAATTTCAATAGGGATGTGCTTATGTTCACAGAAAATCTAATCGTTCCATAATTAACTCATAATGATCATACTTAATTCTATTTATTATTCATATAAATAAAAGGCTGTATCAAAAGGCCAACTTCTCGTAAGAGACATTGAGAAAAATTATGAAGCATCTTAATTTCAAATTCGCTACTCGATCAAGCAAGAGCGTACTTATTGATAGACAAGATATCATATCATGGCGCCAGCGCTACCTGCGTTTAATTACACAATATCGTAGGGAGGGAAGATATATCTATTTTCAAGACGAGACCTGGATCAACGCTGGTAAGTGGCAACTCTTAGTTTTCTATGTTTGATCCCCTTTTATTTAGCTCATAACATATGATTATTTTTTGTTCTTTCAGGTCATACTACAAAAAATATCTGGAGTGGTGGAAGTATAAAATCTTCTCGGCAGGCATTTTTAGATGGTCTAACTACGGGATTAAAAAAATCCACAGGAAAGGGCAAACGACTCATAATCAGTCACATAGGCGGAGAAGAAGGCTTCCTGGACGACGGATTTCTTATGTTTGAAGCAAAGAAAGGTACAGAAGATTACCATGATGAAATGAATGCAGTGTTTCGAGAAGTGGTTCGACGGCATTCTACCCAAACTCAATCCGAATGCAGAAGTCGTAATGGACAACGCGCCCTATCATTCTAGGAAGATCGAAACAATCCCAAAAATGTCGTGGACGAAAGCACGAATTCAAGAGTGGCTGACCACTAAAAATATTACATTTGAACCAAATATGGTGAAGACCACTCTCATAGATATATATAGTGTGAAACAACAAAATCATACTGAGAAATGTGCCGTGGACGAGATTGCTGAAAAAGGTATCAGACTTTTAACACTGCCCCCTTATCACTGTGAATTGAACCCCATCGAGTTGGTTTGGGCTCAGGTAAAGGGGCACGTCGCAATCAATAATAACACATATAAAATGCAAGAAGTGAAAACTTTATTCCAAGAAGGAATCAACAAAGTGACACCGACTAAGTGGAATGACTGTGTGTCTCACACTATAAAAGAGGAAGACAAAATGTGCCACCTCGATCATATTATAGAAGAAGTGACAGACAGATTTGTCATTAGTGTGACCGGAAGCAATAGTGATTCCGAAAATGATTGATTAATAAATAACATTGTTATGACAATTTTGTTTAATTTTGGATGTACGTCCTTATACTTCCACTGAAAAAGATCAATCCTTTACTAAAGTAATAATAATAGAATAAAAAAACATTACAACTTAATATTAAATCTCTTAAATAAAACCAAACTGATCACTCATTTATTGAATGATTCACTTACTCACTTAGCTACATCCCTATTTATTTTTCTTCAAAAAGCGGTAACCCATAAAACGTCATTTTACTGCAGCTAATAAAAAGTTCTACTTTAGAAAGTACTATTATATCTATAATAATTTTATTCTGATTCAATTAAATATGCTTGGCTAACCTTTTTATAAGCATAGGTACCTACTATATATAAAACAGAAACAAAATACGACTGTATAGTGTGTCTTATTAATTACCTATTTTACTTGAATGAACTGCTAGTATCAAAATCATTTTGGTCCGACTGTATAGGGTTGCTACATGCATACTAGTGGCGCCATCATTTAATGTCACGACTTTATAGACAAACAGTACATTACGTTGCAGAGATAATGGTGAATTTGCTGTTTCTGAAACGCGCTTCGATGCGCATCGACTGCGATAGTATGAATTGACCATAAAAGTGCGTCCAGACTTTATACGACTTCTTATAACATTTTAACAACACCAAATATCTTAAGAGCCTGCGCTGCGTTAAACGGGAGCAGGGAGCGGGCGTCCACTCCGCGTGTTTTCTTTTTTTCATGTTATTTTATAGAGCAGCGCTGCATGAGGTGGGTCCACAGCCGAGCGGACGACCGCTCACGGTCTGCGAGCCTGCGCTGCGTTAAGCAGGTCACGCCTGCTTAACGCAGGCTCTTAGGATGTAAATTAAACCCAATCAAACTACTCATAATTTATTATTTATTGAGATAATCTATTACAACACATTTGACGTCAACAATAATAATAATTGGATTATTACGCTCTATGACTAAAGAAAAATAGACATATCGGAAGAGTAATAGACGTTTACACAAAAAATACAACTTTTAAGATATTAATTTAGTCGTAGAATGTAATATAACATAAAAATATATTTATTTAACAACTAATCACAATTTATAATTTCATTTTCAAATAATTCATCAGCTTTACTTAAAAACAATACATACAAATAAACTTGGCCTTACATTTAGATATAACAATGGCTGATGCAAACCTGAAATTGAATACTGTGCATCATTGAGATCATTTAAAATTAATCCTAGATTAAAAAGACACAATAAAGAAAATATTTGTCCGATGTTGCCATCTCCTGATTACGTGATTATCCATCAAATCACATTAAACAACCATTAAATAATACATTACATACAACATTTGTTATCTTTTTTTCAGCGTTGATTTAGCAAACTTCTATTCGAGAATACGTTATAATCAGAAGTTGGTAAAATCGGAGTTTCATAAAAATAAGAGGTTGAGATTTCTGCAGATCTTTGTTTATAAATGGATACCGTTAGCTTCAGAAATCACGTTGGTCTTTAAAATACCGCGATGATTCCTCAGTTAATTATAGAAATAAAAACTTAAACCCTTTTATTATTTAACGAAACGTTGGGGTAGAAGTATAAATACGCAGCAATTCAGTTAAAGCAGCATCACTCCTTTAAAAAAATATAAATTATTTCGGAAACTAGCTCAGCAGTGTGTGGTTTGTGGCTTAATCACAATTAAAATCATCAAAATTTAAGGTCCCCAAGAGATTTTTCGTTCTAAGTCCTCGCAAACGAGGTCAGTCTTTATCAAATAAAAGAAACTATACAGTAAGAAAGAATATTTTGAAATCCAACCCCCCAAAGGAGTAAGGCCGTTAAATATTTTCTTACCAGAATTGGTTCTGGCTTAACCGAACGTTATTCCGGGATGAAGTTTTTATTTGGTACTCATTATATGTAAGTAGTTTTTTGAACTGTGGACCTGATTCTAATATAAATTAACTCGATCACGGGCAAAAGCTGTGGTAAGATTATTTTGTTTACTATTGCACGCACATTTTATATAGAGTTGCCTATAAGTTAATGATTAAAAAAACAAATGTTTGCCACACTGAAAGTTACCTAAACAAAGTGACATGAATTCGTCAACGCTATGTTAGTTGAATCCTCAGTTAATTTTATTTAATTCTGCTACGTGAAATACAGTTTTACCCATATTTTGCAAAAGGTGTTGCTGCGAACTTAAAATATTATATTCTTTTAGGTCAGAGGTTCTTAAACAGTAAGTAGAAATACATATAATTATCTAGTATGACCGTAAATACTATTAAAAACGTTAAAGAAAATATTATTAGTATGTAAGACTTAGGAATCTCTCATTCACCTAAGAACAAAAAGAGCTAGAATGGCCTTCATTTCTAAATGTAATTTTGACTGTTTCACGAAATTTTAACGTAATAGAAAAAGAACATGGTTTTTTGTAACAATATTCAAGTCAAGACTAGATAAGCAGACAAGTAAGTACATAAAATTACACTTATCTTACATTACTTATGTTAATTGATATTTAATAAAAGTGGCCGTTGGATTTTACAATAAGTACGATTGTTATGAAGTTTGGAGCATCATAGATCATAAATTATCACAATAAGCATAAGGACAATTTAAAAGCAATGGCAATAGTTATACAAAATACTATATGTATAGCATACATAATGGTCAATTTGTACTAGCGTAGAGTCGAAGCTAATATCTGAAAAGTAACAAAGCTACTTCACCATTATCTCCACGCTGTAATGTACATATTATTTCTGAGATAAAAAGAAGACGCGTGAAGTCGAAATAAGGGGGATTTTTCTATGTAACTATTCCTAAAATTCGCTTCGCTGCGCTTCAACTCTGCGCTAGTATGAATTGACAATAAGCCCAGCAGCGCTATCACCTCCAATCGCCAAGTAATTTTTTTTATCTTATTATAACTCACTAAAATTGAACTCCTTAACTCGGATAATTAAAGATATGGAAGTATTAAAACCCATTGAAGAATAGTACCTATTGAAAGACACATTTTGAAAGGTTATGATTTGTAAATTACACCAAAACAACAAGTTTACCTTTCCTAAATAACAAATATTTAGTTTTCGGCTTCGTTAATAATAACTATTTACCTATATTTAAATTGAAAAATAGAACTGCCGTATTGTGTCGCTATTTTAATCCTTCTTCATGGTTTTGTTATTGATAAGGCAGAGATCGCACTGGTACAGCGTCGACAGCGATTTTGTGAAAACAAACTCATATAAACACATATCGGTTGCCGCCTAGCAGTCTTTTCTACTTGTACTGAGTCGTCGTGTTTCGTGGCGTCGCAGTTGCCGTTAAGTGCGGCTTCGGATTTACGCTTTGCGAGTGCGCAGCGAAAAAAACACTCGTATTCGACTGTATAGACAGCGAATACATCGCCGTCATCATCGAGAAGCATTTCGTCACTGGCCCGGCTTGGTCACACCACTGATACAGCGCGCTGCACATGCACACCAGCCAACTACTTTTTCGACCATTTAAAGTTATTGGCTATTCATATCAAGAAATTGTAGTTACTCCAAAAGCGAAAATAAACTCTTTGAACACAAAACAAGTTCTTCACGATTGTAACATTGATGTGACAATAAGTATTTTTTTTGCAATATCGGTAGGTATTTGGAATACTAGGAAATTAGACTCTGTTGTATGTTTCTAACCTGAAGTACAAATTCGGTACTAAATGAAAAATAAAATATTCAGGACGGAAAATGTGCGCTGCTGGACACCATATTCAAAGAACCTCCTAATCACCATTTTCAATAATTAAACAAAAATATACATACATTTTGATCACATGTCAAAAGTAGGTAGTGAATGGAAAGAAAAAATAGTAAGAATCGATTCAACAGCTTTGCTTAAATATACTTATTTATACCTTATTATATAACCACTGTAAGTTCACACTGAGAATCCGAAAAACATTTATCATGTGTAATATTAATATATCATAAAACACGTAGATAATCTATTTTAAACCAATTTCATAGTATTGTATTATATATCGAAAACAAAAAATGAAATAAACGTGTAATATAAATATCGCAGAGCTTTAAGTACCAGTTATTATAAGTAAAAAAGATTTGTAATTGCTTTGAACAAAGTATATCAAAGAGTTTCTTTTTTGTGTTACAAATATTAAAATGATTTTATTTAATTATTATTAAAGTGCCGATTTGAGAAAACAAATAATAAACTAAGACTATTTACGCCGTGTTTTGTTCATATCACTCAAATGCCATTTGTCATTCAATGAACAGAGACAAAACATGGATTATCTAATCGGAACCTTATCTTCATTTATTAATTGTGGGAGTTAAAGTTTTGCATTAATTAAATTACACGTAACATAATAATATAGGTCACAGGGGAAGTATGAAAGTAGGGATTTCATGAAATCACGAGAAAATAAAAATTTAATGCAAATACAAAACCACGCGTGCCATTTTATAATTTTATTAACCAGTCTCCGAAACATGAGCACCACAATTAACATTATAACACGTTGTCATGTTTTGCAACGCGTCTAACTGACTTCATAGTAATGTGACAATTGAGCGCGATAAAAGCGAGCAATTTAAGATTTCACATGTCAAATTAAATAATTGATCAAGTGACAAATACTTTGTTTCATCATTTTCCGGGATTTCATGAAATCATACATGAAACTGATATTTAGTGTGACATAAACATTTAAATTATATGACGTATAAAAAAGTGAAGTAGAAATTGTAGAAAGTCATCTTAGTTATTATTATTATTTGGGTAAGTACTATGGACACCCAATATTAATTAATGCATGGACACCGAACACTAATTAAATGTTTACGATAATAAGACAATTAAGAGCAAATACCAGTTTAAAAGGACACAAAATACACACTCATGTCCAATATATATTTAGGTATATTATTTTAAACTTTCATGGTCACTAACATTATAGTAATATAAGTTATTTACGGGATGGGAACAGTACCGAAATATCGGAAACTCGCTAAAAACAAGGTACATGGTAACAATCCTGTAAATAACTTATATTACTATAATAATATTTAGGTATATTATGGTCACTGGTTGAATTCCATATTTCTTGGAAACTTGCAATAATAATTATAACATAATTGCGTATTCTCATTCAGAATGAGGGTAATCTCACTTTGTAAGATTCGACTAAACATAAAATCTCAGAACAATATAAAGTAAAAAAAAATACACTCGCGGTGTACGATCATCAGGTGCTGTGAAAAGTGGCCATCTTTCTAATTGAATGAACGTTTAAAGTTAATCATTATGGCTTGCGCAGACGAGAGTTTTTTCCTCCAAAAAACGGATTAAACTTAGTAATGGTTTAAACCTAATGCCGTCTTCTTTTTAACAAACATAAGTGACAGCACCAATTTTAAGCCAGGTATAATTTTAGTCAATATTTTGTGATAAGGCGGATCATGTTTAAGCCATATTCTATCTCTATTTTACCTTGATCAATAGACAAAACTGTGTAAAACACGATTAAGCCTCAATTTGATTAAAGAGTATTGGTGCAATAAATTTAAAGTTTGCGTTATCGTTCAAACAAACAGAAATAATATAAGTTGCAGCACGCATCTTTAGCGCTGACTGTTATTGCGCAGAAGTAAAAATTAAGATGTCTTGGGGGGAAACGCAGTGCGCGGGTGGACGTGCGTTGCGTCGATTGGTTTTCCAGTCTTACCCATGCGCAGTTACCCCTTCGCGTTTTGTTCAGCGCTAGAGTTACGTGCAGCGACCTGCCCCCCTAGCATGAGCACCGCGATATGATAAAACTCGTTTTTATCAGGCTTAATTGTCAAATTACTATGGAGTTTGACAGTTAGACACGATAAAAATCGTTTTATAACGGGTATTGTGGTGCTCATGGTACAGGGACTGTACCACTTGTCTATCAACGTCTGAAAAGTTTCGTGAATGATCGATAAATCGCCTAAATCAATGATTAAATACATGTAAAATAATTCTAAGATGTAAAATAAATTCATATTAAATTAAACCTTACATTAAAAAAAAAATTACAAAAATATTCAGATATTCACATTATATATCTATATAAGTAGTGTAGTGTTTAATTTCATTACATAAGAATATGTATGCGTTAGATGTAATGTCATCATCACATACCGTGCATAGCCTATTCTGTGGCTCCAATAAATACATAAGTCGCACAAGAAACACGCAAACTTTATAAAAATTTAGACCGTCAATTCATCCTGTAATTGGGGTTCTAATATAATAGTTAAACTAAACTATGCAAAATAAAAATAAAAAATTAACTAAACGATGAAATGCTATTAGTAAATAAATACTTCTCCTTAACAGCTCTAACTTGCACACAAAAATCAAAGCTTAATGGCAGCTGTCCATACATCAGACTGGCTTAATCTGATGGCCCTAACTAAAGCAACCCTCGAATCTAGAGAATATCGCTCTAGAATCGAGCCAGCAAAATGTGATATAGTACAAACCTGACATTGGAGACCAATAAATTGAATAACTTCTAAGTGCGACGATTATATGATCATAACAATATAAAATTTGTTCCTAGTTTTTTTGTGCCCGAGAGCGATAAAGCAGGTAACACAGAAGGTGCCATTTGAAAACTACTGTAGCTTAACAACCCATACATATTACAATAACGTCAACTTAAACCTAACGAACGCAGAATAAGGATTGACTGAGAATTGCTTCTTTAGCGATATTCATTCATCTTTATCTCTTATGCTCGATAGTAAATAATTTTCATGTGTCAGTACATTAGAAGCGATTCATATATAGGTAACCAATGTATATCTACACTAATATTATAGTAGAAAAATATGTATATAATATTAGTATACACAGTCCAACGCTCCGACCGCAAGCTTTTAGTGACTACAAGTATTCTAAGTGAATGTAAAATTACCTTCAGTACTAGAAATGCGTGGGAAAATGTAATTTTTGGTGATAAAAACACATCGCAAAAGAACAGAAGTATTCCTAATCGCAAGCCTGCGCCATCTATTTTGATATCAATTTGATCTGCATCGCAAAACGCGCCCGCTTTTTAAATGTGAATAAGGTCTTACAACGCTCGTCTAGTACCTAAGGTCTACTACTTTACGTACATTTAAAGATATCTATAGTAAGTCCGAGTGTGAATTGGAACTTACTATAGATATTTATATTTGAATTTTACTGTATGATGATTATTTTATTGGTCGGGATCAATGTTAGTAGTTTTATCACCAAAGGTGGGTTCATCTTTAAGGAACGTACCTGATCGCTCCATCACTGGAATATTTTCGACTGGTGGTTCGTTGTCACAGCGCCGGGAGCCTTTAGCTGGGGTTTTGGTATTTTTCGGAGGGATTTTAGCACGAGTGGTCTCCTTCACGATCTTCGTCACCATTTTCGCTGAACTGGATTTGGTTGCGTTCATCAATGAGCAAGAGCTCTTCTCAAGAGTTTGAACTCGGTTCCTCGATGGCACACTTGTAGTGCTCGCTGTTGATGTAGATGCTCGCGGACTGAAATGGTTCCTCTTTTGAGTGCCATTTCTGTTGCTTGATTGGGTTGGCTGTGTTGAAGTCATTTTTGGAGCTTGACTAGAGTATACGGGTATTTTCGTTCGTAGTCTCCCGTTTGTCATCATCGTGGACGTACTCGGAGCTCTGCATGACTTATTTGCTGCAAAAGAAAGTTTCATTTTAGTAATTTATAGTTATATTATAACTGAAATAACATGTTACCTATTAATTTGTTTTTTTTTCTGTGTTTTGATAAATATAAATATTTTAAAAGCCAATTTATTTAAGGGCAACAAGAAACTCTCCACGCTACTATAACCAGAAAAAATGTGTAAATACTTACTGTCGACAGACCCCTTTGCTGTGTGTTTAGTCTTGGTATAAGTAGCGTACTTGTTACTAGACTGAGACTCGCTGTGTGAGTCCGTCGAAGGCTCCGCCGTACGCGGCCGAGAACTGGTGGCATAACTGTCTTGAGACAGCACTTCCGCTTTCGCCTGGTAGTTCTGCCGGATTTTCATTCGGCTAGTCCTCAAATTCCGGGCTTGTATCGGACTCGAGTTGCGAGAAGATTCAGTGGAGGAAATCATTATAGGCGCCAACTTTTTCGCAGTCATCATGTTCTTGTAATCGGCGCAGTTCCTCGGTTCCAAGTAGCGCGGTTTCGTGTGCTCGTACGTTGTTTTCGAAATGGACTTCGAGTTGAGACGCTCCTGTGACAGTGTTGTTTTCGTCAAATTGAATTTAGCGCGTTCCTCTTGCGCTTTCGTGGTTCTCACTTTGGGTGGAATGGTGCGAGAACCTTTCTTAGGATCGTGGAGGCTTTTATTGCTTCTCAAAACGTCTGAGTGTGTGCGAGTGTGCGTCGTCGGCTTGGGTGCGTACGGTACGAAAGCCGCGCGCATTTGATCAATGTCCAAGCTCTTCACTGTGGGCGAATTAAGGGATTTACTGGTCTTGTTTTGATGGGTGCTGCGGCTCCTTCTGTTCTGGTGAGAAACCGACGGGGCGATCGGCGCTTGCCCGCTGCTATACATAATGCAGCCGAGTTCTCTGAGTCGCCTGCGCAATTCGGAAGGTAGTTCGATGAACGCTTGAGTGCAGCAGACGCGAGGGGCGGCTCGAACTAGAGATGCTTCGATTAGCAAAATCCAGCTCGCCGCGTGTACGCTTAAAAGATTGTCGTGTTCAGGGATATTGTTAGAATTGCCGTTGGTAATGAGGTCTGGTTTGGCGAAGCGTTGATTTCTTGTATTCCGAACTACCGACGCGAGTAATGCATACGAGCAACATAGTTCGTCTGGCGGGGCCCATTCTATGGCGGTTGCGATACATTCGTGTAATGCTTGCAAGGCACACGGTGGCGGATCAGGCGGGAGAGTGCCGATATCTCTCATGACCGCAGTCAGTTTCTGTGCCATATAGTGAGCCGCTGCGTGAACTAACCGTCGACACATACGGGCCACTACCTCAGCCCATCTACTGTTCTGCAACGCTTCCACTGTAAGTACGAAATACATATAAATTTGACAAAAATACAACCATTTGCTAAATGTTTTTTTTTAAGTACGGGCGAGTACAGCATATTATATTTTCGAATAGAGCAAGAGAAAAGTTTTTACCAAATTTCTTTGTTCCTGTTGAAATTGCGGCTATTATAAGTCGCTGCCAAATAGATAAGGGGTATTTTTTTCTTTCAATTCTCGTTGTGGAATTGACAAGAAAACTTAATAGAGAATGAAATGGACATTTAATTTTATTAATACCTTTTCATTTGATTTGTTTTAGCATAAGCGTGATGTATTTTATATGATTTAAATTGACATATATATGTATGTATTGCTATTATTAACGTATAATTTATTAGGAAATAAATGATAATGAATATATAGAATGGAATAATCTTTATTTGCATTAAATAGGGTTGACAAAAGGTGTTTGCATATAAAGCATATGTTAAAAGCTAAGAATCTCAAACCTATTTAGCCATATTAATAGCATGTAAAAAATTCTAACACATTAAATCATAACAGTCATATTACATTTACCTATGATTCATATACCGCATTGCCAAAAATATGGAGCACAATTTAACCTCACCAAAGCTTACAGTAAATACTTTTGAGCCACCCTAGAGGTTCAAGAAATACTCACCTGTAATACCGCAACCATAAGCTGTGTCCACAATAGTTTCAAGGTTGAAGTTGATGACAATTTGTTGATAGCATTTGTCCAATAGCTCCGAGGGTAATGTGGCGAACGCTTTCGTCGGCCAAACCAGCGAGAAGTACTTTGCTATCCATTTCAAACATTTCCTGTACAAATCATCCAGACCGTACACCGATGATAACGGAAAACATTCCAGGACACCAGCTGTACACACGGCGCAAGGCTGAAACAATTATTAAAACTTATTGTATAAAGTATTTTCAAAGCTTTCGTTCAAATTGTAATGTAAGTATGTGTATTGACGACCTCCGTGGCTTGAGTGGTATGTACGCCGAGTTTTAAGGTGTCGCCTGCTCGTCGAATCCCAGTGTGGCAAATATTAGTATGATGAATTCGAGCATTTGGACCAAGTCATGAATATATTTATGTATTGCAACATAAAGTATACTTGTATATATATCAGTATATTGTATTTTATCCGTTACCCTAGCATCCTATAACACAAGCATTACAGTGCTTACTTTGGAGCTAGGCTAATTGGTGTGTGTGTGGGAAAATTTATTTATTTACCTATGTGTGGTCAGGGCAAATCTTGCAACTGAATTGTAAAGCAGTTGTACTCAACCGATTAGTATGACATTTTACATACACGATTAGTTTGAATAGGAGAGTTGGATAACAATACGGCGGATGGTGGACTAGTCTTTTTTGAGCACTCCCATGATATGCGTATGAAATGAAAGAGTTTGTTGAGAAGTATACGAATAAACTAACGTTTGCGTTATGACTATATAGATAAAAACATGATTTAAAAAAATCTAATATGGATAATAGGTAAATCTATCAAGGGACATAATTGGAACTGTAAATAGGTTTCACAACCAATTTTAATTACGGACAGCATTTTAAACCTAAGTGAGAGGAGTTGTTATAGGTAAACCGCTTAAATGAGACCTCGCCTGCGGGGTACAGGGTATGGGGAGGAGAGAACAGGAACCGAGGACTCAGTTAAGCGGTCTACCTATATGTAATTCGTATATTTAGACTTTTAACTATAGAGGTTAATTATTTCTTTGCCAATGCCGCCGCAATGGATATATATTGTAGTGGAAGAATTAAATTACTAACACAACCCAACTTCCGATATAAGTTACTTTTGTTAATGTAGATTCCTAGGGCCAGTCGTATTAATAATGAGAAGTATGTTGTACAACATATTAAAAGATAGACACTTAATTTTCTTAACAATAAAAAGTCATGTTCATTTTTAATTAATAAAAGACGAAATCAGTTTTGATGTTTGTTTAATTCACCCACTTCGACGACGAATAGCGTACAGATTTGTATCGTAACTTTGTAACCATGAGAGCGATCACTAAAGATAAACACCTTATACTACCTAGAACAATGTGCTAAAATCTTTGAAAGATTGCAATAAAAAATATAGGAATACAAATTCACCTTTATCCCCTTAGCAAATAAAGATCGCAAACTGACGGCAAAGCATTTCGTCTGTGCCTGTGATGGACGTGTAAACAATGGCATAAGAACATGTAATTTCAACGTCATTGTTAAAATATTCTGTGACCAATAAACTACAGCATAACTAGGTCTCCCGGCCGTTATAACAATAGTCGCGATAATAATTATGTAAAGTGTAGGTACTTTCGTAATTTGGAATTCAGGTCTGGTAGCATTGAGAATCAACAGTTATGCCACCAATAGACAATTACAACACTAAGTTTTAATAAGCATCAGAAGTGAAAGCCCGACTATAAGTATGATGTCTCCTATATTTTTTGTGCTGTCCAGAAAACAAGTTGAGGTGACTAATTGCTGGTTCAATAACACCTTTAACAGTTTTCGAAAATGAGCTGCCAGTTTTTCCAGTCCTAAGTAGAATCTTACACCAGCATGATATCAAAGGTAGCTATAGCTTATAACCTTCCTTGATAAATGGTCTTTCAAACACAGAAATAATTGTTCAAATCGAAGCCGTAGCGCATACAACCGAGAAACAAATACAGTCTTCAGTTTTATAATATGAGTATAGATTTGTGGTGTATGTGTGTTGTGCAAACAAGCAAAGAAATTAAAACAGGTCTTCATTAGATATTAGCAACCATAGCAAAATATAATATAAGGTCCAAAGGCCTCGTATGTTTTTCGAATTATCAGACTTATCAGAGATAATATATTTCGGCCGCCAATCAAATAAAAAAATGATTGACTAAGTAGCTGCCAACCACATTTGGTTACCCTGTCTAGCTGGGGAAGGCATTAATTAAGCAGCAAAACCCTGTGCTTGTATTGTATGCACATCACACACAAAACTAATATGCGAAATACTTATTTTTCCAAATTTCCACTGGCATACTTTGCAAATAATTTTTGATAAAGTAGTTCTTTATCAAAAGTTATTTGCAAAATCCGACTGCATCGGTTCTTATAAAAAAATAGCAATGTTATGAAGAAAACCTAACTTCAACGAGTGAGTTTCAATTATTTAAAATTAATTGAAATCAATCGTAATAAAAACCTAAAGGACTTCGTTTTCATGGTCTTAATAAAATTGTGACCCAAGTGAAACACAGATTTTTTTTAAATTTATACCTTCTGAACGGGATTTCCCGAGATGTATGTTCTATTATCAATTCCTTTGAGTTTCAGCCTGACCGAGCCAGACCAAAGCGAGTTATAGGCAAAACAAATTGTTTTCACACATTTGAATTGTTCGCTCTCATGTTTTATATTTTTTAATCATAAAATGGGATTGGGATTTCTTTATAATTCAATCAGTTAACATACTTATTTAACAAATACCTCAAATTGGCAAAATCCATATCAATAATAATATTTAAATGCGAAAGTGTGTCTTACTGTATGTCTATTACCTCTTCAGGCTTATACCGCTAAAATAACTTGAATGGTATTTGGTATAGAAATAGTTTTGAGTTCTGGGAAAGGACAAAGGATCGTTTTTATCCTAGAAATCATCCTTTAAGATGGTGTAAAGAGGGAGTGGAAGTTTTTATGGGAAACCAGTATTTCTACGCAGACGAAGATCACTAGTAACATGTACATATTTATATAAATTCTATGAAAGAAAACACTTTTTTTTTGTCCAGATGCGTCGCACGTAGAGATATACGAATGAAACACGCTTCTTCGTTATCCCGACAATGCAGCGTAACTCCGCAAATTTTTAGAGCGAGATTAGTCCAGTAAAATGTATGCGGGATCCCCTTATCACGGTGTTGCATTCTCTGCTAGTAAGGTTACTGACTTTGGGCCTCATAAAAGAGAGAAGAGAAGGCTCAGAGTCGCACAGCGAGCAATGAAGAGAGTTCTGCTCGATGTCTTTCTGAGTGGTCGAATCAAAAGACAGAAAATCCGTAGAAGAACTAGAGTAACCGACGTAACTGAACGGGTAGTAAAGCTGAAGTGGTCGGAGCGCAGTTTTTGTGGGTCAATGGACATTAGGTTCCCTAAATACTTCAATGGCGATCTCACTTTGGGAAGCGCAGCGTCTGTAAACCCTTCATCAGGTGGACTGACGACAAAAGCTCAGGACCATTGTGTGAGTTTGGAGAGAAAGAATGCACATATCCAGCACTGGACGTTCATTGATGATGATGTTTCTAATTACATTGCATCACTAAAATTTGAGTAACTAATTAAAATTCTAATAATGGTAAACTACTATCAATCAATATTGTCGTATGTAAGTATTGTCTAGAGAACATAAATATCTGAATTAGCCTAACTAGCTTTGTAAATGCCCCATTAAATTTATATTAAGTCCGTAACAAGTTATTATAGACCTATTTATTATCTGCCTAAATAGCAAACAAATATAAAGTTATTTTGCTGGCAGTTTAGGCAGCAACGGAAATGATCCTTTTCTGTTTCAACACTGTAAGTGGAATAGTCATTTTATGACATCTACATCTAGATATGTCATTTCAAAATTGACCCTACGATAGCAATCATTTTATCACAATAAAGCGCCATCATGTTACGTAAAATTGTCTCACTGTGTCTTGCAACATTATAATCAGTAACATTTATTGAACGAAGGCGCAGAATTGTGGAGGTATTGGTAGATTGATTAATATCTGGCATAATCGAAAAACGCCTTTGAAAATGTGAATATAAATAATACCGAAAACCGGTATCCATGCTCTATGTGTGGTGTCATAAAGTCATAACAGTATTGCGGTAGCGAGAAAAACCAAGATTTTGTTTTAAAGTACCCCCTGATAATGTACGTATACAATTTGTAATACTCATGTTAATTCAGTCAACTATTTTATTATTATTATTATTACTTACTCTATGAAAGTGATGGCAATATTTAGCTTTTAAAGTGAACATGATCGCTTCTTTGAGCCCTTCCAGACCCAACATGTCAGCCAGTGTCGCCAACTCCACAATGCTGATAGAATCCGGTATAGTGGACACTCCGGAATAGATATGGCAGAGAGCAAAGTGTACCACATTGAACGAAAACCTGAAAATAATTTTAACATTAATTTTTAGTTGTGAGGTATATAGGTCGCGTCACGTAAAATAACGCTGGCGGTTAGGCTGCGCAGTAGGCGATTTATCGGTCTATTTGGCGGTAAGAGGTGCGGCGCGGTGCGGGTGGCTCACGCACTGCATGTTTACCGGAGCGCTATTGGTTCGTCAGTCGTCCATTGCTTTCCGCGCTGTGTCCACGTTTTGTTTGCTCCCAAAATACCATCGCGCACAAATGTTTTAAATTTGAAATGGGTTCACATAGAAAAGTAAGAAAAAATATTTATAACGTTTATTGTTTTATGAAGAGAGAGGCTGATAATAATGCAGTTGTTAATATAAGACAATGTATGAAACGGACCACAGAGGCAACAAAATGTTCAGGGTCTACAGTGAGACGAATTGTAAAAGGTTCGAATGATTCGGAATTCCTTACTATCTTCTGAACTCCCGGCAAAAACAAAAGAATTAAACAAAAACCAATTAGTACCATTCACTGTTTTGACCGAGGTGTTATAAAAAGAACCATTCACAATTTCCACGTCACTGAAAAAGAATTGCCTACAATAGGCAAGTTACTAAAGAAGTTACCTTCCTCATCTGGATTTTATGTCACCCAGGACGACCTAATGGAAGGAGTTTCAATATTACTTTAATTTAATAAGCTTTATTAATATAAATATTAAACATTCTACACTGAATTAAACATGTTTTAATTCTATTTAATAATATTCTAATATTTTTTGCCATGTACCTTGGAATAATCAATATACGAAGCTGCGAGCGCAAGCATAATTAATAATTATTTCAAACAAAAGGCCTAGTACTCTACTCCAAGCAGAGTCATTTTTTTGTACCAATATAAAAAACAGTGTTCTTTTCTAAAGTAAGGCCAAAATTTTCCTGTCCACTTATACTTTTATTTTATGTTAAAAGAAGTTTCTCTAGAGCATGTTCTGTGCAGAGCTGGAATTTAGATTTACGCGAACGGCAAATTCACAGCGGACTATATTAGGCTTTTTTCCAAGCTGTTACTGCCTACTTGACATTGGAGTTTACGCACAGTCAGCAGCGGACAGTCAGACGAATTGCTTGCTGTTCGCCTAATAAGCCCTTAATAATAAATTGTACTCATAACATAAGTAAGACATAAATACTATGAGCCTAAATAATGTCTAATACTTATTTATATATTTTTAGAACTTACGGCGGCAAGGCAATAACATTTCCAGCACTCTGTACCCAGCCACCGCTTAAAATCCCAGCAAAATATTGACATCTGTAAAAATGCAAAAGAAGACATATTGTTAAGGAAGTTTTTAAATGTGTAATTACGTAATATTTTTGTTCAAACTCTAAATATTACCTTGACGATAATATGCACTTATGTGCTTTGATGCGCCTTCCTGAGACTTCCACTATTACATCAGGGGCAATTTCCTCTAAAAACATACGCAATAAATCTTGGCCAAGACGTGATTGACAATTGCCTATAAGACTGGACGCTTGGCTTGTTTCTTCAGTAGTGCTATTTTCTGTAAAATATCATGTGTTTAGTACTAACAAAAACAATACGTATCAATGTACACATAAAAGAATTTACCCTTACCTACTATTGAACGGCAGACACTGCTCTGCACGCTGCTCATTTCTGATCCGTCTGAAATTTGTTCCTCTATGTCACCTGGACTGCAAGAATTTCCCATCCTCATAGGGGATCGAGTCCTGCTAGATAGTGAGCCAGGCATACTTCTGCTAAATTCGTTTCTTAGGTGAGGGAATAGCCGATTTAAGCTTAATGCGTTTTCAGAATGGAAGGAGCTAATAACTTCATTGGAATGTGACCCGCTAGCTCGGTTTTGGTCACTCCAGTTATTCTCAGGTATCGATCGGGTCATTCGTTCATCCAATGGTCGATCTATATTTTTTGATATCGGAACATCATTTTTTGGCACTGGTTTATCCAGGTCTGATAATTTTACAAAGAGGTCATTGACATGATCATTTATAATTTCTTCTTGTATAACGGATTCTACATTTCGCTGAAAGCTTCTTTCGCCACAAAGGCTTTTTGACTGACCTTCATGTATATTTTTCGGTGTTTTTTTGAGATCTTTTGATTCATTAAGTCGAATTATTTCAGATATACTGATATTTGGGTCTTCACAAAGAGATTCGTATTTCTTAAAAATTTTAGTACACGTTGATTGAGCTATATCTTCACCGTCAAAAACCCTATCATCAGAATTTGCGGATTTGTGATTTTTTGGTAAGCTTTTAGATTCCGCACTATTTTTTTTAGTACTCGAAGTCAATCTAGTAGGCATTTCTTTCAAAGTAGTCTTCTCACTGAAATCTATATACATAGAAAATATATTCTTTTTTGCGTTGATGTTATCGGCTTCATTGTGATTTTTGCGTATGGCTGGGGGAACAGGTATGCTAGAGAAATCTATATAAAATTTGTGACTAGATCTGTCACTGCTATCGGAATCGACAGAACTCCTGCTTTTGCTGCAATTTTCATTGCTACTGAAGTATTTCGAATAATTCCTTAAATTGTCGCAAGTTCTATCGCCAGGCTTTTTATGGTTATTAACAACCGAGTTTTTGTCAGAGTCTGGTTTAGGTGATGAAGACATATCCACTACCCACACCGGTGCGTTGGGTGGTCGACTAAATTTTGGTGTTTTCTCAATTTCAGGAGGAGCATACGCTCCTGATACTATGGGAGAATTTTCCATTTTTCTGCGACTTGATGGACTACCTGTAAAACTTCCAACAACTGGTAAATGGTCTTCCACAGAAGCACCTCCTGAAATAATAGGAGATGCTTCATGATACTTTTTTAAATTCTTTATTGGATTGAGTCCCTCGCGACTGGCTAGTGTTGTATCACTTTCACTCCCAGATTCGTACTGCTTTGGTGTTGATGCTTTCAGTGACATTATTGAGTTATTAGGTGTACTAGACATGAAAACAGTGCTCAATTTTGTACAATTATCATTGATATTTGGTTCTTCGGGTACAAAGGCTTTAGCAATTCCGTCTTTATCACCTGATTCGAAAGTGTTTGCACATAACGAATCTTCTGTGATGGGAGTCATTTCAAAAATAGTTGGTGACAAATCCTTTTGTATAGAATCTGGATCTTTGTTATCTAACTGTTCTAAAGAGTCTTCGTTATCATTTTCCGACCAATCATTAGGACTTAAATCAGTTTTATTGGTCAAACAAGCCACTGGTTCACTTGGTTTATTCGCCTCCGGTTGATTAATATCTAAGCTTTCAATTTTATCAGAAACAACTTTAATTGTCTCCTCTTCTTCATCTACCAAAGATGCTGCATCTATAAAACAAGATGTGGATTTAAAGGGCGACTTTTGAACTAAACTCTGATGGGCGTCTGATATTTTTTCTATATTTTCTTTATCTGTGTTATCGTTGTGCTGACGTTCGCTTTGTATAAATTTATGGCAAACATCCTTTACTACCAATTTCGGAGGAAAAACCGATTCCCAAGATCCAGTCTCAGAAGATAAGGAAGAGGATTCAAGTATTACTATTTCTTCGTTTTGTCGCTGTTTTTCCTCTTTGGAAGAATTACAATTTGTGATCTCATTTTGCTGTATTAGAGTGTCAGAACCATGCACATGAACATTATTAGGCTTTGTGCAACCAGCCCCATTAGAAACATTTTCTGTCGTAATGTCGTTCTTTTCCATTACTGGACTTGAACTAGAGTTATGAGAATGATTACCATCGTCAATAGTAAGGTCGTGCAATGTACTTTCAGTCAATGACATGTCGGTTAATGTAACGTCTTTATGACTTGTTAAACTTTCGAGCAATCCAGTATTCTCCAACCCTGAGTCCGATGATGTAAAATGATTTTCCATGTTGGTAAAGTTATCTTCAACATTTAATTTAGCATGACCAATAGCACTTACTCCAGGCGAATAGGCGAATGTTGCTGATAAATAATCTGAAGCAGAGCTAGGGTCATCTGTGATCAAGCTATCGGGGGAATAGGTTTCTATATTTTTATCTGTGATTGGCTTATTATTTTGCCCCGTTATTGTATTTTGTTTGATTTTTTTCGTTTTGTCCCTTTCTATCCTAGTTGTTATATCACTAATATTGGAATGTTCAGTTGTTTTGGATGTATGACTAGACACAAGAGCCAAAGAAGTGGGCTTCACACGTTGAAAGTTTTGAATATTATGAAATTCACCGTTTTGTGAACTTATTATTGATTGAAACGCGCTAGAAAGTACGTCTTGTTCAATTAATTCTTTATCTAGTAAGTTACCTTCTATAGGCACCAAAGCATAGTAATTTTTATTAAGTTCAGTACTAGGACTAGAACTTACGCTCTTCTTTAAAACTTTTTCCGTTATCGGTGTCAAAAATTCTTCAACTTCTTCAGTTTCTTCCTTTTTACTCGAATTTATAGGTACTGATTTTAAATAATTAAGAATTTCTTTTTCTTGTATTGTAATATTACATTCAGTGTAAGTGTCACTGAAAATAAAATATTTTATTATAATTAGAACATTTACAATATCTTCCAAATGACAAGAATCTAACCAGTTAGCTTAAAGACACCGCAATGTCTGGATGATGTGGCGAACAAATAGTTTATTATACAATCCAATACTAGAAAAAAAATGCTATATTTTTACTAGTATTTGTTACGGATTAAGAATTTTACTTTATTCCAAGGACTAATCACGACTTTCAAATTATACAAATAGAACGAAAAATATTTATATGCAGGTAATTGCGAAACTTTATTACACCTTTTTCTCTTTTAAAGCATCTAGAGACTTGCAGTATAATTATATGCCACGGCCTTTAGGATACAACATTGCCCTGTTTTCATATTACGCTGATACCGCATAGCAACATTTGTACACTAAAATATTAATAGGAAACATGGCAATCCAATTACATTTATTTTATTCATAGTTATCCTAAAGACTGAATAAAAGTTGCGAGACTATTAAAAAGAACTCAATGTTCTGCTTCTTACCTTATGAAGGAATATATTTCATCGAAAGTACTGCGCGAGATATTAACATGCAATATTGTTTCAAGTTTGCGATAAAATTTGTTTGTGCGAGCTTTAAGTATACATGAATGTGTTAGTATTTTCAATTTACCACACACCACCTCAATATCTGTGTAAATTGATTCGTCAAATATTCTGTAACAATAGATTGTTGAAAAAAAATAAATTAAGGGCCTCTTGCATTAACCCAACCCTGTTTAGCACAACATTTCATTTTTGTAGAAATAAGATAGAATGAGGCTTAAAGATGATAAGCTTTTAAATTTGATTTAAGAACTTACAAGCCTGTATGTACGAATTTTGAATTCAGCGCGAAGAGGGCGACTTTTTCAATTATTTATATTAATTTATTCAGATTATGTGACTCACTTTGCAACATCTTCTTCGAGCTGTCTCTGTAAATGCAGTTCCAATTGGGCGCCTTCGTCCAAAGCCGAGGAATCACACGCCGGCGGCGGGTTACACCTCGAGTCAGCGCCCGGCATCAAGCATTTCTTAAACCTGTTTAAAAGTATTTGTTTCTTAGGTTTTCACGCACATCACTCATTAAATAAAACCCGTAAAATAGTTTTTACGGGTTAATGCACAAAACTTTATTTATTTATTGACGTTGTTGTTATTAACTGTTTAAAAGTTCCAATATATAAAGAAGTGTGCTTTAAACACAAGTTACAATATGCCAAGAAGTGACCAAGTTTCGTCTATCTCAAGCGCGGGCTCAATATTAAATTGACCCAATGGCAATTAATTTCTAAACTTGATATAAAATCACTTTCTTTGCGTACTGTCCTGGCGGAATTTGGACCTACACCTAACTAACCTACATCCTTTGTTTTACGGGCGGATCATCATCATGATCAACAGCCTATCATAGTCCACTGCTGGACATAGGCCTCTCCAAATGCACGCCACTCAGATCGATCTTGGGCTACTCGCATCCAGCTCCTGCCAGCCACCTTGCGCAAATCGTCACTCCATCGTGCCTGAGGACGTCCTACACTACGTTTGCCTAGACTCTCTCCACTCCAGAACTCGTCTACCCCAACGGTTATCGGCTCTTCGGCAAATATGGCCAGCCCACTGCCACTTCAACTTGCTAATCCGGTGGGCTATGTCGATAACTCTGGTTCTCTGTCGGATTACCTCATTTCTGATGCGATCTTTCAGAGAAACGCCGAGCATAGCCCTTTCCATAGCGCGTTGAGCGACTTTGAACCTATGGATCAGCCGTGCCGTCAGTGTCCACGTCTCGGCTCCGTATGTCATCACAGGTAGGACGCACTGATTGAAGACTTTCGTCTTTAGGCACTGTGGGATCGACGATGTCAGGACTTGACGTAGCTTCCCAAACGCTGCCCAACCTAGCTGAACTCTTCTATTCACCTCGTCCTCAAAGTTGTTTCTACCTAACTGCAATGTCTGCCCGAGGTATACATATTTTTGAACAACTTCGAGAACGGCACCGTATATTGCAATCGGTTCCGGTAGAACATGTTCATTGAACATGACCTTGGTTTTATCCAAGTTCATCCGTAGGCCGATGCGTATAGAAGAGTCAGCCAGGTCATTCAGCATCTGTTGTAGGTCCTGCAGGGTTTCTGCCATGATGACGATGTCGTCTGCAAATCGCAAGTGAGAGATGCGTTCGCCATTTATGTTGATGCCATGTAGTTTCAGTCAATCAGTTCAGCGTCTTGAACATATCCTCCATTGCATTAGTGAACAATTTCGGGGAAATAACGTCCCCTTGTCTCACTCCACGTTGCAACGGTATGGGACTTGTTTGCTGATTCTGTACTTGGACAGACATGGTGGCGGCTTCGTAGAGACATCTTATCACTTGGATGTATCGCCAGTCGACTTGGCAACGCTGCAGGGACTCCAGGACAGACCAGATTTCAATCGAGTCAAAGGACTTCTCATAGTCCACAAATGCTAGGCACAGGGGCTGATTGTACTCCTCAGTCTTCTGTATAATCTGCCGCACTGTGTGGATGTGGTCTATGGTGCCGTATCCGCTCCGAAACCCAGCCTGTTCCGGTGGTTGGAAGTCATCAAATCTTCGCGCAAGACGGTTCGCGATCACTTTTGAGAACAGCTTATAGACGTGGCTTACAAGGGATATGAGTCGATAGTTCTTAAGTAGGGTCTTGTCCCCCTTTTTAAAGAACAAGACGACCACACTCCTACTCCAGGCCTCCGGAGTTCTCCCTTCGAACAGGACAGTGTTAAAAAGGTTTTAGAGCTCCCTCAGTACAGGTTTACCTCCAGCCTTCAAGAGTTCTGTTGTAACACCATCCTCTCCAGGGGCTTTTCCATTTTTAAGCTGTCCAAGAGCAATCTCGATTTCGCCAATACTGACTTCTGGCAGGTCTTCGGTGAAGTGGCGTGTTACTGTGGCTCTAGAATCCTCATTTCCGGGATCAGGTCGAGATGCATGTGATGCGTATAACTGGCTGTAGAAGTCTTCCACTTCCGAAAGGACTGCCGGCTTTGAAGCAACAACTTCCCCACTTGCTGTGGTCAACTTCGTCAGATGGCTTCTTCCAAGAGATTGTACGAACACTTTGGACCCTCGATTCTGCTCGATCGCTCTCTCGATCGAGAGAGTATTGGAGCATCGGAGGTCGTGTCGTACGTGCTTACTGATCTCTTGGTTTAGAGTCCTCTTTGCCGACGAAGTGACGGGTGGGTTTCCACGTCGTTCCTTCATTAGCCCTAAAGTCTCTTCCGAAAGCTTTGACTTCCTACCCTTACGCTGCGTTGCACATAGTTTCGTACCCTCTTCCCTGAGAATCCGAACCACATTTTCGAGGTTTTGGTTTACGTCTGATGTGGTTTCCACGGCAGCAAATCGGTTCTCCAGATTTGACTGGAACGTTTCAGATCCTGTTATAGATTGGAGCAAAGTAGGTTGGAGCCTGGATTTCATTAAACGGACGCGCTCGGCCTTAAAGTTGATATTCAGAGAGCCCCGGACGAGTCGGTGATCACTACCGGTATGGAACCTGTTGATCACGGAGACGTCTCTGAATATGTACCTCTTGTCCGTCATGATGAAATCGATCTCAGTTTTAGTCATAGTGTCGGGGCTCTGCCATGTCCACTTCCTTTGGGGCTGTTTCTTGAAAAAAGAGTTCATCAAGAAGAGCCCCTGCTGTTCGAGGAAGTTGACGAGCATTTGCCCCCTATGATTTCTGCTTCCAAATCCATGGGATCCTACTACCGATTCGCTGCAATTCTGTACTCCCACTTTAGCGTTGAAGTCCCCCATAACAACGTTGTAGTGGGTCTTAGTAGTGGAGTGGAGGGCCCTCGATATATCATCGAACATATCCTCCACTTCGTCATCCGAGTGTGTCGAGGTCGGTGCGTACACTTGCACCACCTTGAGGCTATACCTCTCGGTGAGCTTTATAATAAGGTACACTACCCTGTTCGACACGCTGGACATTTCCACAACGTTATCGGCAAGGGACTTTTTACCAAAAACCCAACGCCACCTTGGGACTGTTGGTCTCCCCCGCCGAAGTACATTAGGTGGCCCGATTCGAAGGTTATGGTCTCCTCCCCCTCTCTTCGGACTTCACTTAACCCTAAAATGTGCCACCTAATCTTTCCAAGTTCCACCTCGAGTTGCGCCAGATGCGAGTCAAGCCGTAGCGTGCGTCCGTTGTACGTCGCCAGGGTCAGTCTTTTGTGGTGGCCTCCCGTAGCCCGGACATTCTTGGCACCCCCCGCTCCACCGTTACCATGGTCGCCACCGTGACCAGGAATAGCGGGGCTGCCGGGAACTGGGGGCCGTGGCTTGAGTTTCTTGTGCATGAAGGTTTTGCCCATAATCGCCACGTTGGGCAGGCGGGTTGGCGATCGCAGAGCGTAGGTTTATTTACTGATGACGCTGCTGCCCGTCACCAGTGACATTTTCCTCCCCTTCGTCGTTGGATGGTTATACCGCCATCGGTCGGTTTACCAGAGCCTCGTCTGTTGGTCAACAGGGTGCACCACGTGAAGGTGAGGTTGGCTTGGGTTCTTGCAGGTGTATTTAGAACCCCTTACACCCCGTTTTGTTTCTTTGGTTGAACGCGCTAAGCTCATGAACTCCTAGTTCGGTTCGTCAAATTATTTTTGTGTTTCATAGCCCATTTAAGGAGGAAGACTATTTAAAGTTACGTTATAACCAATAGCAGCGGAATAATAATTAAAAATGATAAGAAAATAGGAAAACATAATTCCTTTTCAGAACTTCCGTTACGTGCGCTAACGTAAAAGCTACGTAAAAATCTTGAATTATGGTATTGGTTATCTTTAAAAGCTCTAAAAATAAAGTCCGTGACTGCATGGACATTTTAAGGTATATGCATATTTTAAGATTGACTCATTTTACTATTTTTTATAGTAAACAAATTTGCCTAAAATAATGCATTATTTGCAAAGGTGTTTTTATAAACATAACAACCATCCTATCCAAACAAATACGTTATTCATCAAAAGCAATTAATTTTCAACAAAATTGCTATTGACATCATTTGATTGCAATAAATATCAATTAGTATTAAATGTATTATATTTTAATTGGATATAAAACAACTATAGATTAAATTCAGGCACGTATAAAGCAGACAAACGTTTAGTTGTTATTTCACTTACAAAACATAAAAATGTAAGTAATTATAGGTTTTGGAAACTGTTTTTGGGAAAAACATTTTTTATAATATTCGATTTTTGTTTTCAATGAGCTTTTCCAGGGTATTATTTTTCATTTTTTTTCTTCTATTAAGTGATGTTGAGTTACTTTAAAATAAATATCAATGAAGCCAGTCAGTAGGTTATAAATATAATAATAACAAACACAATATCCGCTGTAAATAATTTAAATGCTATTCACGACTCTATTGTCTTGTACTATATGTGATGATATCATCCAACAGCAAGTTCATTTGTGGTGATGAGTAACTCCTTTTATAAAACGTTACATCAGGTTCCACAACATAACACGATTACATGTGACTTAACCACTATCATTTATTTGACCATGCCACTACAAAAAACTCCAGTTACCTACCTATCTCGAGCTACGATCATTGACTCTAAGGTTTGGTTTTAAGGTGGTGGTGTGATGGAAACCAAACACGTTTGCTAGGAACCATTTTCTTTTTGACGTGACAACGTCTTAAATTAGGTTGCGGCTGGGAGTCACTTATGAAAAAGTGTAACGCTCGGTAACGTTACGATGAGTCTCTCGTGTTAAGTTTAAGTTTACATGTACAATGTTTTAGTAAACAAAATATATTTCTATAGTTAAAATTTGTGCAATTCTTATTTTCATTCAATTCCTTGTTCCTATTGTGCAATTTAATTATATTCATATCAATAAATATTCTACCGAGAAAAAGACGTTGTCACGTAAAATCTTCGCCCGTAAAACCGACTTTACAGGCAACCATTTTTTTTTATTATTACTGATTGATTTATTTAATACCTTTGTACTAGTAAATAAG